TGTAGTAGTACTCCATAGTAGGACCCTACGGGGGTGGTTGATTGTGAGCACCATCTGCTTGGGGAACTGTATTATTGTCCAGAACATGATTTACCGGGGGAACCTGCATGGGCATCCCTAGGGGTTGGTTCTGCCCCAGGTCCAGGTTCACCCTATTGTGCTTGTCGCCCATTTCGTCCTCCTGCTCGGAGTCGCTGCAAAGATGGCTGTCGACGTGTACTTCCTCCGTAGTCAATCTTGCTCGCACTTTCCTCATAAGCTGGCGAAAAGTGCGTTCTAGCTCCGGATCCAAAGGTAGTAATTCTCCCGACTCGCTACGGGTCATACACTACCTGCACACTGCCAAGCAAGCAAACCCATGAAGGCACAAGTGGGACAAAGCAAAACAATCAATGCGGAAAAGAAATGCTAAAGTAATAGAAATCACGTTTCTTCAACAACCTAGTCGTCCCCGACAATGACTCAAAAAACTTGACTCGCTTGTAATGTCACACTAGAAAGTGGCCAAGTGTAACCACCTACTAATGCGTAGTATAGCGGGTTTAGATTTAAATGTCAACCCGGGTCCTAGGTGTGATGACTACTCCATGAAATTCTTATTATTTAGCGGTTCAACTGTAGTGAAGTTCCAACTAAACTAGCAAACAAAAGCAGTAAATGTTGTGTTCCAAGTTCGAGAGAGCTCACCCAGATATGGTTCCCACTAGACTGTAGTTAAGCCAAGTTGTAATTCACCCAGTCCAGTTTCAATGATAATTATACTGTGGAAGGTTCTTAGATAGCCTGAAGTCTCGACTAAAGGTCTCCAGACCCTCTCAATCTTAATCCCCAGCGGGCGACTAACCTCCACCGGAGTAAACAAACTGAGGCCCTAGCGTACCAAACCTCCTCTACTGGAGTAAATCCAGTACAGAATAGTGAATCGACTCCTCGACTAAAGTCGTCAATTCACTACCTTCAATTAAGGGTGCTCCATCAATCTAGGCGGATATTTTGCCCAAATAAAGGAATGCCCGCTCGGCCCTTCCTGTTTACTTAATTTTTTTCTAATAATAGTTATTATTCTTATATTATTATTATTATTATCCCTAATCCGTGATTGCAAAACTTAGTACGCAACTGCCAACCCAACCGATCACGTATTAAGGTCGAACCTAAACCTAAAGGTCGGAGTGTTACAGTTTATTTGTAAATCGCCATAGGGTGATCCGGTCCTTGAGAAATGGTGGTATAGATAGATTTTTTTTCCGGAAAGGGTGGTATTTTTGAAATTTCTTAGTTTTTCGGTGCTATATTGAAAAAAAAAATCTTGAACTTTACACTTGTAAACCTCTCGCATGAGTATATGTTGGCTATCGGAGGATGGGGACACCACATAAACCGTAGCAACCCCCTGCGATTTCTGTTTCAGCAAATAAGACAGCAGGGGTCAGTAGCGGTTTGTTTTGCCGACACAAAAACGGCTGGGGTTTCCCTGTGGTTCTATCTAGGTCAGCCACAAAAACGTAGCTCCCCCCTGCGGTTCTTTAGCAAAATTTAAACTGCACCACCTCCTGTGGTTTATTTGTAAACCACCAAAGGGTGATGCGTTTAGAGCTGTCAAAATGTAACCCGACCCGAGTAACCTGCCCGATCAACCCGACCCGCAACCCGCCCGCAACCCGATTTGACTAAAAGTCAATGACCCGTAACCCGCCCGACCCGCAACCCGACCAACCCGCAACCCGACCGACCCGCAACCCGACCAACCCGCAACCCGATCCACCTGCAACCCGACCAACCCGCAACCCGATCGACCCGCAACCCGATTAACCCACAACCCGACTAACCCGAACCCATAACCCGACCAACCCGCGGCCCAACTATAATAGAAGGAATTCGATGAAGATAAACTATAAGTTGACATTTGAAATCCTAGTTCACTAAAGTCTTATCATTACATCATTAATTATTAACTTAGTATAATAATATACATCATCAACCTATTAACGCATATAACATCATCAAATATATTGATTTAGATACATCATCAACCTAATAGTCCACATAAGATTATAAAATATTAGTTTAGCATAATAAGATAATTATAAGATTTAAAATCCAAATATCATGGTCCTATCATAAAAAAGACTAATAATAGTTCACAAAAGTCTGATCATAACAAGAATACATGACTCATAATAGTTCATATTGTCTCAAGACCTCAAATATCAATAAAACATGTCCAAACAACAAATTGACATTCCAAATGACGATCACTCTAGAAGCTTTACTTCTTCTCCATCATCCCTCGTATCTTCATTATCGTCATCTGTACAATTAATCAGTGAAAAGAAAATAATAACGAAAAGAGAATAGTTTGTTCAGTACAAATATAACAATTTGTTTTTTCTTACCCATTTGGTATCCTCGTATCCAATTACGAGTTGTCACAACAGCTTCAAGAGTATCAGACAAAATCGAAGTTCTCCATTTTGTTAATATTCTTCCTCCCAAACTAAAAGAAGACTCTGATGCAACTGATGTAATTGGAATAGAAAGTACATCCTTTGCCATTTTAGAGAGGTGAGGAAATCGAAATTGATGGTCCTTCCAATATTGCAAGACATCAAAAGGAAGTAGCTTAGAGACTCCATCAATGTCCCCAAATGCAGGTATCAAAGGGTCAGCCAAATACAATTGCAACTCAGAACTAGTTGACGTATTGTGGTTGATATTGGATGCATAAAACCCCTACAAACAATAAATATAGATATCATTGATATTAAGTTATTAACACATAAGCATGTTCATCATTTTCTTTGCAGTTAGCATGTACATGAATCAAAACAAATAATTAACCAAAGACCAAAACACAATAACATAATTCATAAATGTAGCAACAAACAAATACTTACAGCAGTGTAATTGTCCAAGGGAACGCTTGGAGAAGTCATAGACACACCACTTTGAGTAGCTGAAGTGGCCGATTGATTCTTATATTCTTCCAAAAGCAACTCCAAATCATACACAACATCCTCGACTTTTGAAACATATTCTCCACCCAACTTTTCATAGCAATAATTCACAAAAGCAACCTTATAACGAGGGTCCAAAATAACCCCAAAAGCAAGCACCAAGTTGTAGTCTTTCCAATACTTCAAGAATTTCAACATCATTGCATTTGCCATAGCACGTATATCATCATCTAGACTTGTACAAAGAAGCCTCAACTCAAGATGAATCTTCCAAACATTCTCAAAAAACAGATTACTAGTCGGGTACTTAGTTCCAGAGAATAACTTTGTGATTTCATCAAAAGGCTTCAAGAATTTTATAAGCACTTCTATCTTCTCCCAATCTTCAGATGATGGACATTCATTATACTCGAAATCCATCCTTGCTAAGTTTACAAATGCTTGACGATAATGATTTGCCCTCTCAAGCATATTATAAGTTGAATTCCATCTTGTTGGCACATCCAACCACAAAGACCTTGTTTGTTTCATCCCACTTTGCTCAACACATTCCTTAAACTTAATTTTCCTTCCTTCAGATCCTTCTACATATTTTACACTTTCTCTCACAGATCTAATACCATCTTTTATCACCTTCAATCCAGCTTGGACAATAAGATTCAATATGTGCCCACAACAACGTATATGAAAGAACTTGCCATCACACAACAATCCATTTTGTCCATTCAACTGATCACGTAATTCATTTTGCATGTTAGTCATATTGCTAGCATTATCCAAGGTGATAGAGAAGATCTTGTTATCAATACCCCACTCTCTGAGCATACGATAAATGGTCGTCTTCACTCTATAAGAGGAATGTGGAGGAGGAAGATGAGTAAAGCTCAATAGCTTGCTATTCAGTTTCCATTCATCATCAACATAATGAGCCGTCAAGCATATAAATCCTCTAGTTGTCAATGAAGTCCACATATCACTAGTCAAACAAATACGACTAGAAATCTTTTGCAAGCTAGACTTTAACTCCTCCTTCATTCTTTCATGGATCTTCACAATGTCAGATTTATGTGTATTCCTTGAAATAGGTTTAGCCTGACCATTCAAATAGCTATGCACATCTCTATTTCCTTTATGTTCAACACATCTAAAAACATAATCATGTGAAATTGTGCATATAGCTAATTTCTCACGAAAACCTTCCTGAGTTATGCAATTGGGACCAGTAGACTCATTCCTTAAATCTGATGGTTGGTGGAGTTTCTTACATACCGCAATATGTCGCTTCAGAGTAGATGTGCCAAGCCTTGACTCCGCCTTATATATCTTCCCACAAAAGTTGCACTTTCCTTTCTCCAGAAGAACTCCATCGTCATCAACGACATTAAATAGTCCTACATCGTCCCACACTTCCGATGTGCGGCGAGAATTAGCCTTCTTTTTAGGGGGTGAAGAAGGGCTAGAACCAGTAGTACTACCAACACCACTTCCCGCATTATTAGGATCCATGTCTGCAAATTCACCAAAGTGAACAACAAATCAAATGTTAATGAGTAAACTGGAGAAACAAATATCTCACAAATATATATCATCGAGTGCTGCCCTCTGTTTTCCATACTTTCAATTAATAAAACTGCATTTACAGAAAGCATGTGCAGTGGGTAGGGACTGATGTGTTTGTTTTGAATTTGTGCATGGATTGAATTTAAGGACAAGAGAAACTGGAGGACTAGCCCATGTTTCACTCCATTTGGCGGAGGAGCTCGGTTTTGCCCAGGGGCAGAGTTGGCTCGTCTACAAATTGCACTTACAGCCTACAGGTAAAACTTCCTTCTGACCATGGCAAAGACATTTGCTAGCAACGTAAATGACTAGCATCCCTTTTGGTTTCAAAACACACAGGTGGACTCAGGTTAAGGAAGATATGATGTCATTCTTCCCCTCTGCTCCTCTCGTCAACGGCTTCCAGATTCGCTTGAGTCGAAGAAGACAGCAAGAAGAAGAAAGGAATCCATACTTGAACGGCTGAACTATTGAGCTCGCGAGATGGAGATGCGAATCGATGGAGAGAAGCGAATGGCAGCAAGCAAGAAGGAAGTGAGCAGGGATGGCGGCGGTCGGCGGACGGACGCGTGCGCTGCGCCTTTGAGCGTCGACGCCGAACTCGAATCGAGCAGGGATGGCGGGGGTCGGCGGAGAGGATTTTCTGGTCTCTGGGATTTGTTGGACGAGAAGCCGAGAAGGGACTGTGGCGGAGAGGTTTCTAGACAATGAAGCTGGTTTGGAAGCACAGTCGGAGTCGCAAGGGAAAGCTGGTTTCTAGGGTTTTCGTTCGATTTGGGAAAGGTGGAAAGGGAAAGCGATTCCCAGTTGGATGGAGAGGAGGACTGCATCTCGCCATTAGCCATAGGATTTAAAAAACGGCATCGTTCCATTAGTCAACAATGATAAAAAACAAAAATAATAAAAAGGATAAGAAAACATAAAAAAGGGAAACATGAAATTAAGGCTCGTAAGTATAATGGCTTTCAAAGTAACTAATGGATTTTCAAAAAAAAAAACGAATGGATTGAAAAAACAAATAATGAATAAAAAAGCTTGGAAAAAACAAGTTACGGTTAACTATTAAGGTTAGGGTATAAGGTATTAATGGTTTAGACACGATTAGTCAAAACCTCAAAATAATAACTTATAAGTTATAACTAATAACGATCGACTTATAGGGTATATGGTTAGGGTATAAGGTCTTAATGGTTTGACCACGGTTAGTCAAAATCATAATTAATAAGATCAACTTTTCTTATTAACATATGTTCATGAATCAAACCAGTAGGGTTTAGGGTATAGGTTATAGAGTCGACTTGTAGGGTATATGGTTAGAGTATAAGGTATTTATGGTTTGGCCACGATTAGTCAAAGTAATAACTAATAAGATCAAGTTTTCTTATTGACATATGTTCATGAATCAAACCAGTAGGGGTTTAGGGTATAGGTTATAGAGTCGACTTGTAGGGTATATGGTTAGAGTATAAGGTATTAATGGTTTGGCCACGATGAGTCAAAATCATAACTAATAAGATCAAGTTTTCTTATTAATATATGTTCATGAATCAAACCATTAGGGGTTTAGGGTATATGATATAGAGTCGACGTATAGGGTATATGGTTAGGGTAATGGGTTAGGGTTAATGTATTAAACAAGATTAGTCAAAATCGTAAATAATAAGGATCAAGTTATTTATTAACACATGTTCATGAATAAAATCATTTGGGGTTCAGGGTAAAGACTATCTAGAGTTTAAATTATATGTTATCGAGTAAAGTTACAATTGAACTCACAACATTTTTTCCAAATTGCCTCGTTTGCCTGCAAAAAATTTGGATGGATCAATCTGCCTGAGGTATTTTGAATTGATTCGTTTTGAGTCAATTTCAATTTGCTAGGGGTGGGGGCAAATAATTCGAATTGACTCGTTTTATTTACCTCATTTATGAAATGAGACAATTGATCAAATTGACTCATTTCTTGATTGATCCATTCAAACCAACCCTATATTTAAAAGTGGAACCATTGATAATCACTAATCTCATTTTTGTCTCTTGGAGTGGCGGGCCTTTTAACTTTTCAGCCTAAATTTTGAACTTCCCATTTAGCTTTTGGATTGGCGGCCATTTTCAATTTTTGCACCCTAAATTTTGAACTTCCCATCTAGTCATCTACCTGCTTGCCGCTTGCTTGCCACTCCATAAATGGAAAGTTAAACTTGACAGCTATTAAGCTATACATTTTTTTTAGTTAATCATTTTAATCACTTAACTCATATAATTTGATTTTGTAAATATCAATTCAAACCCATCCAAATAATTTAAAACCGTAATAGTTTGCTTAAGATCGGAATATGGCAGCGAAAATCCTACCTAAACCTCCTCTTTTTTTTAGTGGTAAAACCCGCAACCCGAACCGCCCGACCCGCAACCCGATTGACCCGCACCCGATTGACCCGTAACCCGATTGGCCCGCAACCCGATTGACCCGCAGCCCGATTGACCCGCAACCCGATCAACCCGCAACCCGATCAACCCGCAACCCGACCAACCCGCAATCCGAATGAACCCAACCCGAACCCGCCCGATTGACACCTCTAGATGCGTTCCTTGTGAAAGGGGGTATATTTTGGAAAGGGTGGTATTTTTGGAATTTTTACTTTTTTGGGTGGTATATTGGGGAAAAATCTCTAGTAGTAGTTCATAGTCTCCGTGGAATACGACCTTACTTACCACTGTATTGCTTCTATGACAAGTACACTTTCTTTGAGTAGTTGCACTTATAAAAAGGAGATTATTGACTACAATGTTTTGACAAAAAAAGTAATGACAATGTATAATGCATCATATGTTTTTCATATAGGATCAATCAACTTTATGGGGGAAAAATTTCATTTTAAATATACAGTGCATATTATATGATGTACATTGTTGTGACAAAATATTTTGTCACATTCTGTTTCCATTTTCTAGTCAACCAAAGATATTTTGACAAAATATTAGTGATAAACTTATTTTTGTCAAACATAGGTCTAATGTGACAAACAAATATGAAAAATTTGTTCACATAAAACATTACACTTATAACAAATATTCATTTAATCACAATTTATGATATATTGTGACAAAAAGGATGAATGGCAAAAAATTTGGTAGTCATACTAGTCATATTTTGTTACAGTGAAAACTAATTTTTGTTTTTGTTTTTCAAAAGTTGTTTATTGTATTCATCGGGAAAAAAAGTTCTTTATTGTAGAATTCTATTAGTTGTTGTAGCAGTAGAAGGGGTTCCATCTACTGATGACTGCTGGAAATGGTTATGGTCGCTTGAGCTCCCACCAAAAATGAGGTTATTTATCTGGTAGTGTTTGAGGAATGCAATGGCAACAAAGGCCAATCTCCATCACCGTAATTGCTCACCTTCCCCGGCGTGCCAGCTTTGTAATGCACCGGCGGAAACCCTTCTTCACTGCCTCTTTCTCAGCCCGCACGCAGCTGAGACGTGGGAAAGGGTGTTGCCATATGTTACCCCTCCGACAAATTGCAGCCAATGGTTTTTCTCCCTCTGAGACATTGATCCTATTGATACACTTCGGCAAAAGGTTTTCTGTCTCTTTGAACATTTGGAAGGCTCGCAATGAGTTCATCTTTAGAGGAGCGGCTTTGTCTCCTTTAACTACATCCATTCAAGCTTTTCGTGAGGCCAACGAACCAACTCCACTCCACCATCATTCGATGCACCACCATCCTCCTTCACACCTGCGCACTTTCAGGTCGTCGCACCTTTCTCCACCGCCAAGCAATCTCCCAAAAAAGATTCACTATGATGGATTATTTGGTCATGATTCCCACGAGGCGGCTTATGGGGTTGTTATTACTAATTCCCATGGAAAGATTTACGATGGTCGAGCAGGAAAAGTTATTTGTTCTTTCCGATAGAGGTTGAGCCTCGTGCTCTCTTGGAAGCATATTCAAATGCGGCTGTTGTTCACACTCCAAATGAGATCCTCTCTGATTGCAAGCCTTTAGTAGAAACATTGAGCAATGAACCGACATTGTGGCCATGGCGGTGTTTTGCTTTGCTCTCTACCATTTCTTCCTTGTTGGCGCAATCAGACTAGATCTATGTATCTTTCATCAACCGTCAATACAACAAACAGGCTGATTGGGTCGCGAAAAATGCACGGTGTAATTCTTTACCACCCGATTGGATCACAATCCTTGATATTGTATCTCCTATGTTGTAAGCCTCCTCTCGTTTTGGGATGATATGAATGATATCGTTATTAAAAAAAACATATTAGTTGTTCTAGTAATTTCATTCAAAAGAGTCTACGATAAAATTTCATTACCTCACTTGGTACATATGTTCCTCTCCATTTTTTCATAGCGCTTCCCCAAACATTATTATCTATAGTATTTTAAATAGATTTTTCTCCCTCATTTTGCTCATAACTTGTCATGCTAAAAGATTGTCAAATTCCATTTCTTAGAATTATCAACTAAACGTGTTTTTTTCTTCTCATGCTATTGTGATTATATCTCTATTTTCACAGTAGTACTACTACCAAAACAACAACAAAATTGTACTAGACAGACCGTACTAATCAGTTTTTTGTGAAGAGTTTAGTTTTATTGTTCTTCATCTTTGGAATGTTGTATGAGATGATGGACAACTAACATATTTTGCTTTGCCTGCGATGATAATTTAATTTAGTCATAATAAACCAAAATCATTGTTAATAAACTTGTGGCATGATTTTACGAGGTATTCTGTACGTTTCATGAAGGTTTTGGTCTATTTTAAAAAACTTGTGGTGCACTATAATAAACTTGTGATCGGTTTGATGAGGTTTCTGATCTATTTTAAGAAACCTGTAATATGCTTTAATAAACTTGTGGTATATATTATGAGATTTCTGGTCTGCTTCAGAAAAATTCTAGTCTGTTTTACTAAACTAGCAGTGTACTTTATTAAAATTGTGGTGTGCATTAAGAAACTATTTATATCATTATATGCTATATGAGGTTTCTGATGTGCTTCATGGAACTTGGTCTGCTAAAATTAGCAATGTTGTCAGAACCGAACCGGAGCATAACCCGGTAATGCGAACGGTTCGCACTTTAGTGGTCCAACCGGCATTAGACCGTTTAAAAACTGTTAGAGAATCGATACCTAATAAATGTTAGCAGTATAAATAGTGGGCATTTCTTAATCAGAGTCCGTCTCTTTCCTTCGAAATTGTGAAATGGAAATAAGGATTCAGTTTGAGAGCCCAACGTTTTTGGTTTATTTCAATTTTCAATTTTGATGCAATTTTTTTAATTAAATTTAACGACTGAATGGCAAAAACCGGTCAAGCGGCTCGATCGACTATAGCGGTTAACCGCCTCGGCCGCTCGTCAAACACTACATAAAACCAAAGCGTCTTTTAGACTATTCCAAACCGGTTTTGTGACCGGATGACGATTTTACCGATCGGACCGAGCGATTGACTCGACTTTAATAACACTGAAAATTAGTATTAGCATCATACTAACAAATTGGTCTTAGCACCTAAAGTCTTACCGGCAAAATGTACCGTTTATGTATAAAAAATATAATAATTTATATTGCGAAACATCGTACAATACAAAATTGGAAAATGAGAATGGAATCTCTTCCTTCAAAGCATGGACCAAACCCCGGAAAACAACACATGTGATAATCATAATTAATACTCTGTTCTGTCTTGCCCTCGGAAGCGATGCAAGAGTCGATCATAATGCCTAATTTATTAATGCATCCAAAAGATGTGAAGATCCACAGGTGTCACCGCCGCAATGGGCAAATGACGGCTGATTCTCAAAAGTTTAAAGAAAATGTTAAAATTGTTAAATTAGGAACAAGATCAAGTTTTTTATATTTAAATTAACATTTTATCACTAAAATAAACCCTGACAGAAAGGGAAAAATACGATTAATGTGTTTTATATAATGAACTTCATTATAATTTAAGGGGAAAACAATTTAAATTAGTGTAATGTCTATTTTTTAACCAATTATTTTTAATTTTTTTATATTATTTACACCTATTAAAATGTTATTAATTAGTCAAATCTTTCGTAAGGCATCAAAATACTAGTCATTTTTACGCGATCGATAATAATTTGTAACTCTTTTCTTTAGTTAAATACTAAAATTTTGAAATGCTGACCTTCATGTGTATCTTCCAAGTCAGTATCATGTTGCCAAGTCAATATTACTAACAAAATTGCTAACTGGAAGTTAATATTTGGCTAATTCTTAATATTTCGATAGATTTGGATAATAAAGAATCTGAAAAGGTTTGGATAAAAAATAAACATTATTATGCTTAAGACTGGTGTACCCTCGGAGTATAGTATACTCTAGGTACTTCTAGTGATATATTACTATCTAGACCATGATTTAAACCGAGTTTATGGTATGATATATCCTAACCACTAATGGATAAATCTCAGGTCTCGATTCTCTAAACTCAAACTCGAAATTCAATTTACAAGAAAATAATATATAATGGACCGTTGAGATTGATCAGACCTCGTCAAAGTGCATCTAATGGATAGATCACCTGAAGTATACTATACTCATGCAGTATACCATTCATTACCTTCAAATGATATTATTGTTACAATAGACAACTCAAAAGTTTTATAGATAGATAAAGTCAAACATCTGAATGGGACTAAGAACCTATCCTAAGAAAACTGGAACACGTGATGGGTGAGGGCTAAACCCTTAGACAATATTTAGTGATTAAATCCAAATGTCCATAATTTGAGGCTATAATTCAAATTCTAGCCCCTCAAAAGGTGTTTTGACATTTGTAGTGTGTTCCAAAAGTCCAAATTTCTATATTTGTGTTTAAACTCATAATCCAGTTTTGTATATATTTCATCATTCTGATTACAAATTTTTTTATTTACTTTATATAGGTACTATTAATTAATTAAGACGAACATTTTGATAGTTTTTTTAATTATGACAAAAAAAAATATTTGTAAATATGACTTAATTAATGACGGTCTCTTGTTTGGACCGAAAGACCCGTTGGAGGAGATTGTGAGTGCTAAAAGATAAAGTAATATCTTTTTTTTTATTATTATTATTAAAGCTCTTTTTGGCAGGTGGACCCGTCTGCTTTTCCCCCATGTGGTTACACTCTCTTTTGGAACTTTTTGTCCTTTTCTGGGCCAAATGTGGACCCAATTTTTGGATCAATTGGAACTTTTAGCTTTTTGGAACCTTACTAAAGTATGTCTGGTCCAATTTTTTGGAATTCCATCCCACCACTAAAATTGGTCTTACCAACTACTATATTTCAAAATTTACATGATTTTGAGAATTTAATGGGCTAAAGCCTATAGCCTCCCATACCATCCATGTGGTACCACTGTTTCAGCAAGAAAACAAACTATGTACTAAATAAAAACACTTATATAAATTTAAATAATTAACTAAACCCACTTGGTGCTTAAATTTATTTAGAAATAATTTAATATTGACATCCAAGCAACAGAAACTTTGAATTTTTTTATTCTAAAACCATCTCTTCTTCATAAAGCTTGAGGGAGGAGGTAAGAGAGCATCCAACGCAGGTTGAAGCTTTAATTTGAGGTTTGGTTTGGCTCTTCACAATCCAAGTAAGTAAACCCTCTCCTTCTCCTTCTTCCTCTTCTTCTTTCCAGTTTCTTTTGATGGTAGAATAGTGGAAATCTTCACAGACCATGTAGATAATAGTAATTACTTAAGGATCTGTCATCATCTTCCCTTGTTCTAAAGCTGGTTATTGGTTGAGGAAAACCCTAGCCAGGTTATATATAGAGAGCGAGAGAAGGAGAGATCATGGGCAGAGGGAAGATTGCGATTCGGAGGATCGAGGATTCGACGAGCAGGCAAGTGACGTTCTCCAAGAGAAGGAAGGGTTTGATGAAGAAGGCCAAGGAGCTGGCCATTCTTTGTGATGCTGAGGTCGGGCTCGTCGTCTTCTCCAGCACTGCCAAGCTGTACGACTTCGCCAGCACCAGGTTGGTAATCTTTGCCTTTCAATTAGCCTGCATACTTTGTCTCCGTTAATTTCTCGGAATCCCTAAAACACAGATTAAGTAGGCTGCAATTGAGGCAACCATTCCGGTTGTTGAACGAGTTGATACCGTGGCCGGTCGGTGGGATCAAAAATATCAAATATCGGATCTCAAACCGTAGATGGTTCTATAGTACAAAATGGCTGAATCATAATTAAATCAGGATTTTAATTTAAAATATCTTATCATCGAATTTTTCGATATAATCTCGTGTATGATTTTAAAATCCTTCTAAACGTGAGTACACCACACCTGCAGGAATAAGGATTTGATCTTGTTGACACTGATATTTATTGTTCCTCAGTTTTTACTTTTTAGTTGTTTTTTTTTTTTTTTTTGGTATGTTTCTTTGCCTCTATATTGTTTTCACAGATTAATTTCACCCGTCGTTCGTCATCAAATCCACTCAATTATAAAAGGAACAGGAAACATTTGAACATATTCAGGAGAAATTAAGATTGACCGGATAATCATGTGGTCATAATATAGCTAGGAGAAGAAGATGATATATATCCAATTCCTTATGCAAATGTTCACTAATGTAGTTCTATTGATCAATGTATGAGGGATAAAATTCAGAGCGTTGACTTATTGTTTAGCTAATAATAAAAGTGATGGATTTGGAACTTGGAACATGAATTTACATATCAACAACTTGATAGATCTGTAAATCATCATTCTGAATGTACAAACCAATTAGTCGGTAGTGCTTTCACATTTAATTATGAGATTCATGCAATTCAAATACCAGAATCCATCACAGAACTCTGACAATAAATCACACAAAGTTCAAATTATATTGTTTTGCTGAATCCATCCATTTCTTAAAATCCACTGCATTAGAAATTTATCAACCAAACAAGCAAAGGAAACGTTCAATTACCTAATATAACATGCATAACTAGAGTTCTACAACACCAAAGTGAAAGAGGGTTTTGCTGATAATGATAGAGAGAGAGAGATGGAGAGAGTGATGAACGTAAATCTAAGAGAAGAAAGCATCCTTGGGAGTGACGGAGCCAGTGCATACTAAGGTGGGTCCCGGGACCCACCTTGGTTCGGGAGAAAATATGTACGCTTAATAATAAGGATTAAAAATCGTACCAAAAGTTATATTGGACAAATCAATGGTATGATATTTTATGTTGAAAACGTGGTTTAATCGTGGTTCAATCATTTTAGGTTTATTCAATATATATCGCCAAAACTTTCTTTTGTTGAAACTCGCTAGATTCTTTTTATCCTAATAATAAATTCAATATATCAGATTTTAAACCTCAACTAGATTATTATATGTATACTTTGACGTGAATATAGGCTGGCTATTGTCTAAAACTATATAGAATTAGGAGTTATTTTTCGAATCATGGTAATTGAAAGAAGTAACTTATTGTTGTTGCTAACCAAGGCTCCACTGCAAGTATTGAACTGACATTTTCAATGAGCCACGTGAAGACACTCTTTGGTATCTAATGGGTGACAAAATCATGAATGATTATTTTATAAGGTATATTGACATCCATATCATAGGAATGCAAGTTCGTCAATATATGAACACACATTACGTGGCACTGCAATGATTCAAAATTTTCTTGTAATATTCGGACCCACCTTACATAAAATCCTAGCTACGCCAAGGATTCCTTGGGGGCTCTTATCTGTAATCTCCCACCCTTAATGCTGGGATTAGCCTCCAACGTTGGATTGAAGCTCCAATTCACCACCTAGCTAGGGATCTCCTTTGTCACTTTCCCTCTCTACCCAGTAGCTCCCACTTTCTCACTCTAAACTCCTCTCTCAATAATCTGAATTCAGCTTCTACTTGTAGCCAAACAGTACAAAGTGCACGATTACCCGTAATGATCGTGACAATTACAACAAAATCGTGAGGTCGACCCAAGTCCCAAAGTGCCCCAAACCGATATCAACGATTCTATGCAATTGTCAGATTTTTAACCTGGCACCTGCAAGCGCCTACGAGAAGCATATATGCCCCCGGATCATCATGCAAGCTTAACAGCCTCTGGCTGTTTGTCACGGTTTGACTGTGACATTTTTCTCTGAACCGTGACATTCACTCTTTGCTTTTTGGCTCCCGTTGGTTCGACAATCGCTCCTTTTCACATGCTAGGACCTGACATACACTCAACCAAGCACAACCTAGCATAAAATGGCCAGAAGAACGATGAATCACAAGGCAAACAATCAAGGAAATAAGGTGTAAATATGTATAAGTAAGCCTTAATCATATATGTATGAGAACATTGACCCACTAACTCTAATATATATTTATTTAACTAAAATTTTCATTATAATTAAAATTAATTAATCATTCTCTACAAAAACCCTATAATATACTATCAAATTTGGTTGCCACTACCTAGCACGCCTAAGCATCGCCTAGCCATTTTAAACGAAAATAGTGGTTTTTAGTAGAAATAATAATTTTATAACACTCTTTTACTTTAGTTCCATTTCAAATTATCAATAATTTAGCTAACATTCAACCACAAGTAAAATATGTCATGATTTCTTAAAGTCACAAGTTCATAGAAGTTGTGGGTTGTGGTGCTTAGCATTCAATAACAGTAAAGAGTAAGGAAGAGGGTCGGGTCGACCGAAACTAGAGAAAAAGTGTCAAATTGACTAATTCATGGATTCTAGCTGCTCTACAGTCGACAATGACGAAAATCAGTGTAGAGAGCAAAAGGGATGAAGCAAAAGGATAAGTCTTTGCAATTCATTGGTTCTAATCCATTTGTCATTTGATGTAGAATTAAAATCTTACATTGAGGATGAGAGAGTAAAGAACCTTTTGAATATATGATTGCTGGAGATGGCGTCGTTTTGTGAAGAATAGCTATAAATCTTTCAAATTTTGGTATGATAGCATGCTTAACAGAGCCTCACTACGATTAATTGCATCACACTCTAATTAATCGTGCTTAGTTTTACCTAGGCGCTTCCTAGGCATTACCAACACCTAATTGTCTGCCTAAGGTCTAGGCGAGGCATTTTGTCACTGTCTAGCGCCTAAATATAAGCATAATTATGCATTCTTGAACCCTGGTCATATAATATATTATGGTTCATGCTAGCGTACGCCTACGCTTGTGTACACGCTATCATACTCCTTTCGAGTTTTACTATTTAGACCATAAATTAATCAGAGTTTAGGGCATGATACTATGCCTTAATGATGCGAGCACGAAACTCGCACTCATAGTTTTCAAAGTCACGCAATTAAAAACAGGAATAAAAGAAAGGGATAAGGCGAAATTGAATTGCAATCTCACACTTGGGAGAAGGCTCTATCTATAAAAGGGTAGAACCTCGTCCAAAAACAAGGGGGATAATTTAGTGATACAAAGTAGAAATTTTCTAAGCTTTAAGCTCAAAGAACAGGAATAAAATCAATAGGGTTCAAAAATAAATCAAAACTCGGTTTTAAGCCTTTATATAAGCTAGGGCAAAAAAAAAAAAAAATCCTAACACGGAAAAAGGTAACTTTTTAGTCTGCCTGGGTCCGATCCTTGGTCACCCCTTCAATTCCCCGATCAGAGGTTTACGCACGCCTAAGTGGGGGGGTGCTCCTGTTCCCGGTCCGTGGCCCGGCCTCGCGATTCCCTGTCGGGGATTTGGTTCCTCCTGGCCTACCTTCCCCACTCATGTTGCTATTGATTCTTGGTCCGTCTCTTGCTTTCCCAGGCGGGGATTTGAACCTAGTGACTATGGCGCGCAACTCTGGGCATGCATCAGTTCCTCCCCGTTAGAGAAGTTTTTCCCTAAAACTTGTGTTTTCCTGCAAGAGACAACATCAGCAGAATTTCCAAACGGAATGCTCTTTAGCGCAGTCAACATGTTCATTTGAGAAACAAGATGAGTTACACTTCCTTCCTCTGACTTTGAGCCATTTCCATTTCCTTTCTCCCTTTCCCAATTCACCTCTATTTGTCGTTTATCTTCACCGACTTCGGCGGGTGAAAACGGCTTGAGGTGGAACTTCCGATCTCCTTACTTGAACCGGTAGCTATTCTGCCTTCCGTCATGAGTAACTCCACGATTATATTGCCACAGACAATCCAATCAGGGATGAGCATCCTGCATTGGAGCAACATCAAACCAGACTTCATCTGCATACTCACCAATATGAAATCGAACCTTGGCCTTTTTGTTGACCTTGATGAAGCCATAGTTGTTCAACGAATGAAGGTTCTAAGGCCATGGATGCGTAATGGTACTCAGTCCCAGCTTCTTAACTTAATCAAGAGTCACTACATTGGTGAAGCTACCACCATCGATCACAACAGAAAATAACTTTCCATCCATCATGCAGTGGCTATGATTCAAGGGATAGCACTCTACGATTGACTTCAAGAAACTTACATGTTGGAGTGGCTTCAGCTATGATGTGCTTATCAACATCATCATCATCATAATCGATTTCTTTACCCATTGGCTTCTCTTTATACTCCTCCAGAAAAGTATTCTCCATATCATAGAACCAGAGTCTTCATGTTGGGGCACTGATTTGCTTTGTGACATTAACCCAAACATTTGAAGCATTGGATGCTTCAGTTGACCCTTTAGGTCAGGTTTGAATGACTGGAGTAGTGTTCCTATCAGCTGGCTTGACTCCTTCTTTCTTGAAATGATTCATAGTGGTCTCACCCATATTCTCTGCAACTGGTTTAGTCGAAGGTGGATACCTTCTTCCATAGTTCACCTTCAGCTGCCTCTCCACCTTCATGGCTAGATTCACCACTTCCTCCAACATCACAAATTGATGAAGCTCGACTTCGTGCTTGATCTCTCTGTTGAGCCCATTTAGGAAGTGAAGAATCGATGCTTCCTTGTCCGACCTCACATATGCCCTCATCAAGATCAGTTCAAGCTCTTTAAAGTACTCATCAATAGAGCGTGCTCCTTTTCGAATTCCCTACAAGGAATCATGAAGATCTATCTGATAAAATGGAGGCACCTACCGATCATGCATCAAAACTCTAAATTCATTCCTAGTAGAGACAGCAGGCTGCAGATTTCTTCTTCGTCGAATGGGAACCTATTCCGACCAAGCTGTTGTATAATCGGTAAACTCATAGGTGGTACCAGAACATTATGATGTTTTGGGTAAAGATTGCACTAAAATAACAAGATCATCTTCCTCTCCTTATCAAAGCAATGTGAAGCAATGCTGGTTCCTTGAAATGGAGGAATAACCAGTTTTATTCCTTCAATCGAATCAACGACATAGGCTCATGTTTGTGGTGGTTTTCCACCATAGTTATGATAATCATCTTAATAATTATTAAATGGAGGTATGTATTGGGTGATTACATAATGATGATGCCTCATTTCTTGACTACTCTGCATCTACCAATCTATGGTTTCAAGAAATGTTTGATAATTCTGTACTCGTTTTGCTCTGGGGCCCTCACGATTCTCGCCTCCATTCTAAGCTGCTACAACTTCTGGATTCTATTGTGGATAATCCTAGGTTGCGTCTCCAACTTGGTGATTAGGGTATCCGGATGCTTGTTGGTTTCAACGAGCTGAGCTTTGGTAGAGTCCTATTGGGTTTGAAGCATAGCTCTAATCTGAGCCTTCTGTGCTGCAAGCTTCTACATCGCGTTTGTCGTTAATCTTTTCATCGCTCAACATGTGCCTTAGAGAAAGAAGATGATCTCCACCTTTGTATTCCAACTTCGATCCACTTGCATTTCCTTTCTCCCTTGCTCAATTATGCTCCATATATTGTTGATCTTTTCGGAGCTCAGCTGGCGATAATGGTTTGAGCATGAACTTCCAATCGCCTTGTGTAAACCGGTAGCTATTATGCATATGATCGTGAGTAACTCCACGATCATATTGACCCGGACGACCAAATAAGAGATGAGCAGTCTGCATTGGAGCAACATCACACCAAACTTCATCTGCATACTCACCAATCTAAAATCGGACCCTGGCCTTCTTGTTGACCTTGATGGCCCCATAGTCATTCAGCCAATGAAGTTTGTAAGCCTGTGGATGCTTAATAGTACTCAATCCCAGCTTCTTAACTGCATCAAGACTCACTACATTGGTGCAACTGCCACAATCAATCACCACCAACAACAACTGTCCATCCATCATGCAATGGGTATGAATTAGATTATCTCAATGTTCTTGTCTAACTAGATATTCAAGGGAGATATCCCTATGATTAACTCCAAGAAACTTACCTTTTGGAGGAATATCAGCAGTAATGTGCCCGTCAACTTCATCATCATCACAATCGATTTCCTTCCATATTGGCTACTCTTCATTCTCTTTCGATGAATAGTATTCTCCATCTCGCAGAACCAAAGCTTTCTTGTCGGGGCACTGGTTTGTCTTGTGGCCTCGTCCCAAGGACCTGAAGCATTGGATGCTTCCCATTGACCCTTCATTCCTAGCTTGAAAGACTGGGGTCATTTTTTTAGCAACTGGCTTGTCAGCTTCTTGCCTAGGGTGATGTATAGTAGTCACAAGAATGCTTTCTACAATAGGTTTGGGGGAAGGTGGGTACCTTCTTCCCAAGTTCACCTTCAACTGCTTCTTCTCCTTAATGGTTAGGTGAACTACTTCCTCCAACTTCACGAACGGATGAAGCTCAACTTAGTACTTGATCTCTCCGTTCAGGGCATGTAGGAAGCTCGAAATTGTAGCTTCCTGATCTTCCCTCACATCTGCCCTCATTGAGAGCAGTTCAAGCTCCCAGAAATACTCTTCAATAGATCGTGCTCCTTGCCGAATTCCATGCAAGGAATCAAAGATTTCTCTTTGGTAGTACCCTGACATGAACCTCTCTCATGAGCCCACTCAATTCAGTCCATTTTGTCACATTCGGCTGCAAATTCCTTCTTCTCTTGAGTTGTACCTACTCCCACCATACGAATGCATAATTAGTGAATTCATATGTGGCTAGTGATAACTTGTGTTGCTCGCTGTAATTGCCACATCAGATGAACAAGATGATCTCCCTCTCCCAATCCAGGTATGTAGAGCATTGAGAGATCCTTGAAATGAAGGAACTGAAAGCTTGATCCCTCGTAATTCAACAATCGTACCTTCGCGCCCCTCCTCTGGTGGTGTTCCACCATAATCACAATACTCGTGTTGTTGACGCACTCCATCGGGCTCTGTTGTTATCAACCTCTGCTCCAAGTTGTGAATCCTTGCATCTAGGGCTTGTTCGGTTCCAGTTGGAATTCCTTGTTGTCAATTCTCCTCAGGAATCGCATGGAATCCTGCTGCTGGCAGCGATAGAGCCACTAAACACTTGTTGATATGATCGAACTGGTCTGGAACACCATGTTTAGATGGATAGTGAGTGTCCGAAGGCACTCACTCATGTTTCCCTGTTGTTCTGCCATGGTTGGTTATTCAAATGGGATTTCTTTCTCCGACAAAAAATCCTCTTCTGCAACGTTGTTTGCTATCAGGTATTTGGACCTCGTACGAGAATCAACGGGTCTCTTGTCTTCGATCTGCCCACTGTGTTGAAACGGACTCTCACAACAAGAAAAATAGTATTTTGTAACGCAAAATTTCGTCACCAAAGACCCAAAAAAGCGTCAGCAATTATTTTTGTGACGAAGTTTCCGTCACAGGTGTCGTCACGTATACGCTGTTGCAAAAAGGATACTGTGACAAAATAGTTCAGCTTTGTCACCGAAGATGGAGCCTTATGTGTTGCAAAGTTTTGTCACAAAAAGTTACACATTATGTGACGATAATTATTTGTCACCAAAGACTCGCTTTTGGTGATGGATTTATGATTCCACACATAATGTTTTTTTTTTGTGACGAAGAAATACGTCACATATTCTGTATCATTTGGTGACAGAAGTGATTTCCTTGTCACCCAAAGCAGAGTTCAGCACACAATAGCTGTCAGATGTGTGTTAATTGGCGACGGTCAAAATTGTTTGGTAAGGATAAAAATCCATTACAAAAAAGATTTTCGAGGATCTTGAAAATTGGTGATAAGGATATGTTGTTTGTGTGAACCTAAAATTTAGATGACATACAGGAATGATTTTTCTAATTAAATCACCAGATGCGTTCTTTATATCACAACCAAGGGTGGAATCTGTACGGTATCGGTATCCCAATACCAAATACCGAAATTCTGAATACCAAACTACACCCTAAAATCAATTCCAATCTCAATCCCTAAATAATTTCAATATTACAATCCCAATACCTAAGTATTTTGATATGCCAATCGGTACTTCGGTATTCCAATCAGTATTATTAAATACGAAATTAATTACTTTTGCAATTAATAATTAAATATATAAATTATATTTGATTGTTTAGTTTAGGGCAAAGATTCTTGAGTTTGCCTAGAGCTAGCATATGAATAAGGGGAATGGGGGAGAGGTGACATCTCAAAATTTTGCCATTGGTAATCTTTAATTTGACGAATTGGAGGCAGAAAGACGATTAATACTAGTGTTTGCTTTTTGGTGTTATGAAAATTACAAGAGATTATGTGAGAGACGAGAGTGACTTAAACTGAAAAGTCAAAATTGAGTTGGATGAGGGCTTCGAAGTTGTGAAAGAATGAAGGAATGATGAAAGGTGGTGTGCTATATTTCATTAATTTTTAATTTTTGGTATTTCTCGGTATTTTGGTATATACAGATCTCAATCCCGTAATCCCGAATACCAAATAGCCCACCAAAATGAATCCCAATTCCAATCCCTAAACAATAAACCGGTATTCGGTAATACAAAATAGCCCACCAAAATGAATCCCAATTTCATTCCCTGTTCTGCTTGTTCTCGTGTCTTTGATGGTGATGTTTTTGGGGATCATGTTGTGTCCTATGCTGGTATTGTGGGCATTAAGCATCGGCATGACCTCGTTGGAGACACCTTCGTCCTGTTACAGGTCTGGCATTTCTGTCGGAAAGGAGGTTGATATCGATTTGGTTGATGGGCATAGCGGACCCCTTCGTCCTGCGGATTCGCTGCTTTATTCCAGGGTAGGGGGCAAGATGTGTGTATTGATCTGACTGGGTCTTCCCCTTTGACTCAGACTGGGATGACCGATTTTGTGTCCGGCCGAGTTGTAGCTGATGCCGCTCGACGAAAGTGTGTTAAGTATCGGGACTTGTGCATGGCGGCTGGTTACGGGTTCCTGCCCTTTTCTTTCTCTTCGCTGGGGGAGTTGGATTCGGATGTTGTGGTTTTGCTTAAGCGCATCCAGAAATTCTCCGTGTCTCAGGATGCGGGGCTCGGATGGCAGCGTACATTTTCACTAGACTTAGCTTTGCTGTCGCTAAAGGGGTGGGAGCCCAGATTATATCTAGGCTGCCTGCTAATTTCTTGTAAACCTTTTATTTTAATTCCACTTTGTATTGGCACTTGACATTTGTGGAAACATAAAATAATATAGTAAGTCTCTCTGGAAGAGCAAGATAGAGAATATACCAGTATCTTGCTAAGTAATATTGCAAATTAAGATCGATCCAAGACAATGCATTGGTAAATTAGTTACGTAAAACACTCATAAAATATTTCCTCTTTCCACTTCATTTGGTCGTGCATTACGAACCTTTTGTCTCTTTCTTTTGTAATAATCTTCATCATGTTAATTATCAACAATCTGCTTAACTACTGTTGCACATATATACCTGCAGCTTGAAATCAGTCATTGAAAGGTACAACAAGGCTAAAGAAGAGCAGCAACAAGTATCAAATTTAACTTCAGAAGTCCAGGTATGCTCTACTATACTAAATACTAATACATTTCTAGGAACACTACACAATCCACTAGCTAGTTTGATAAACCCAACTTTTAGTCACAACTTAAAACTACAATCAAACCTACTGTATTTTGCAATATACCAAATTCATCAATACATGTATAATATCGTAGATGTATTTGACTCAATACATTTATTTAACAATCGAAATTTTCAAAACACCATAAATTTCTCAAACCAACAGTCAAAGAAAATTTTCACCCTAGCGATGTTATATCTCATAATCCGTGGAGTGTAATGCAACACTATAAGTCCGTATTAGTAAATGATCACTACATTTATGTTCATCCACAAGTTAGTGGACGAAATCTTTTGATTTCTCATGCATGAACATATACATACTGACCATATTACATATCGACCGTTATGAATTTTGCCAGTTTTGGCAAAAAGAGGTAGCAATTTTGAGACAAAAGCTACACACCTTACAGGAGACTCATCGGTATGATATTTTGTTTCCTTAACTATTTTACGAGCCTATGAGACTATGCGCATGTTAATAGTTATGTGCATTGGCAGGCAGTTGATGGGCGAACAGCTCTCTGGATTGGGAATCAAAGACCTACAAAGTTTAGAGAATCAGTTAGAGAATAGCCTGAGGGGGATTCGAATAAAAAAGGTCAGCTAGCAGCCCTAGCTTAATTTCTAGACTCAGTACTGTTTATGCAGCATGCCAAAACCCGGCCATCATCCTCTAGTTTTAATTTCCAATATGGCATGCAGGAACAAGTTTTAACAGGAGAAATAGATGAGCTAAGGCGAAAGGTGCTCCAACAAAGGCTTAATTTCACACAATCTTTTCCCTTTACAAGCACGTCGTGCAAGAGTAACTCTGCAATCTCTTCGATATTAATTCTGCTACTTGATTGGCAACAACAGGGAACCCTCATGCATGAAGACAATGTAGAGCTGTACAAGAAGGTCGACCTCATGGGCCAAGAAAACTTGGAATTGTACGAGCAGGTATAGCTACTCTTCCAACCATCGATCCTTGCTACAACCCTAAGCATGCAGTGATCTTCACGCGTCCTATTACGTTAGTATGTGGTGTAAGACGAATTCTTGAATTTCTCCCAACAACTTAAGTTATTGGCATCAACTAGTTATTCACATGGTATATCATAGTCTTTCTGTGACTACTGATAGGTGTTCTGTTCGAATCTCGATAACCCCTATTGGTAAGCACATGACGTTGGATGCTTGTACAAAATTCAAAACTATATGAGTGTCTTTTGTTTGATTGATGTGTTAGTACGTATGTATGTGGTATAAAATTAATTGTTAATCCTTTTCCAAAAACTTGTGTTATTGATATCAACTGGTTCTTTTGTACCACGATGATATTTAGCCAAATGTGTTGGTTATTTCAGGCATATGGCAGAAGGGAAAGGGATCATGGGGCTGAAACAACTCCCAGCTCATCTACCCTGTTTAGTTTAACAATGGGTGAAAACTCGCACAATCCCACAAGTCTGCAACTAAGCCAACCTGATCAACACTTTTATTACAAGGCTACTACACACAACACATCTACGTAGCTAGGTGATATGATGATGATGATGATGATCTAGCTTCTATGTAGTATTTGTTTACAGTTTACTTGTCTGTTCTTTTAACACTAAGAACGACTTTGTATGGTTTGGCTTCTATCAATCAAGTGAACAATTTCTACCAAATAAAATAAAATAAAAATAAAGTGAACACCTCTTATTGGCTGCCTTTGTGTTGTATGCTTTCTCCTTTTACACTTTCGTATGTATCCCTTTTCTTCAATAAAATTTTCACCTTGATCAAATATAAAGTGAACACTCCGTCATCTCAATGAGATAAAATTATTTGAGTGACAACGTAGGCAGATATAAGAGATTTGAACAAATATGCACCAGAGAAAATTTCGAATATTAGAGTTTTGAATTATGGTACTGAGCACTGTAAAAGACAGTACGAGTATATTATGATATTAATATGTAAAAAGTTTTATTTGCCATTTTAACATAATAGTATGCTTAGAAGTACGACTGAATCTGTCACGAAGTTAGTTGAAAGATTTTGCTATACTAATCTATATTTCTTGTATTGAATTATCTTTTTATAATTTAATTATAAAATAATTTTTGTCTATTGTGACAGCAATGTTTGGTTATAATAGGACAAAAATTCGTCATAATAATTTTATTATGACAAATTTCTTGTCATAACATTCGTCAAAACTACCTGGTCAAAACAACTTTTTGATGACAAATTTTTAAAGTCTTCCCACAATTTGTTTTAATGGCAGGACGACCAACTTTTGTAATTATAAGACACTTATTTTGACAAAAAAAATTGTCAAAATAAGATATTTTATCACAATACATCAAATTTTGTCACAATAATTACAAAATTTTGATACGTCGTTGTGACAAATTGTAAAAATTTGACAAATTATTTTGTTATAATAGTTTGTTACAGCATCTAATATAATATGGTGTTCTTATGAAATTTTTTTTATCATAATAAGTTTAGTTTGATAGATTGTTATTGTCATATATATTTTGTGATGAAGTCATTTGTCATAATCTAACATGCTAATTTTGTCACAAGATCTGGAAATTATTATAAATAACAGGATTATACAAAATATTGATGGCAACAAAGAATATTCTAATAATTTCAGCCATAATCCTTAAGTAAAATATTGCCTCCATCTATTCCACAATGAAGGACAACCTACAACAAGTTCATCTTAAAAGGAAAGTTCTCAAAAGTTTTGAAAGACCATGACCCAACTTCCTTCCCATCGGCCTCAAACAAGGTTTTAGAGTACTTGTCTACAACAATAGAAGCTAAACCAAAGTGCTTTACTAGCATTCTTATGATCCCTAGGAAGCATATGAAAAAGAAAAAAAAAACCCTAATGAGAACTTGAAAAATGAGTGTATTCAGACCCAATTAGAGTATCTATTCACTACACATTAATGAAGCAAACTCACCTAAATGTTCATAGATGGGATTATTATTGAGAACTCGGAACCTTAGATGTTCATAAAGAGTATTGATCATCACTTCAAATCAATATAGTTTTGCTAGGCTAGTCACAAAGCTATCAGTATATACCAAAAAATTCAGATGCCTAGCTAGCCATTCATCCAATGCAAAAATCTCAAGTTCAATTAGGATGCATATTAACCTACATTGGTGCTGGGGAAATTTTCTCCCAATGTTTCTATCATTATTACTGCTAGATTTATTGCTTCTGTTGTTGCTACATACTTTATTATTGTTGGTTTAAAACTCAAAAAGCTATGCTAAGTGTTTGTACCATCTAGTTCGAGGTATGAACAATGATATTTGTTGGTGTGGGGTTGACTCACTATCCGTTCGTCTGATCTCGTCGGGAGGGAAGAAACCTGTGAAAGAGCCTGGGTTGCCCCCCGAATTAAGCTCCGACGATCAAGTTAGTTTATGTTTCAGGTGAGAGTTGAGAGAATAGATAGATAAAGTGTAGAAAGATAGTAGAAAGTGAGAAGTCAGGAGAGAGAAGAAGTCCATTCGTTTGGAGGGCTTCAAGCCCTTATATACCTGTAGCGGGTATCGAGTGTTGCACATTGTCGATTGTGCGCCCTCCTACTTAGTCTAAGCACGGAGTATTTCAGTAACACCCCCCAACAATTGCCCCCCAAGCTGGTGGTGAGTTTTAACTCATCGCTAGCTTATATTTTTTTTTTAAAAATCTTCATCGATAATTTTGGATGGAGCCCTATGTACCCCAGTTGCCCCCCAGCTGGTAGCGCGTTTGACAGACGCGGTGCTAGCTTCTTGCGTCTTGCCCCCCAGTTGGTGTATTTCATTAAGGCGTGTGGCCTTCACCCATTGTAGATTCTTCATGGAGCTCTCCTCGACGTGGTTTTTTAACCCTCAGTTTGGAGTCTTCAAGGCAATGCGCTCTCTCCTCGTCGGGGTTTTTAACCCTCAGTTTGGAGTCTTCACGGCAATGTGCCCTCTCCTCGTCGGGGTTTTTAACCCTCAGTTTGGAGTCTTCAAGGCAATGTGCTCTCTCCTCGTCGGGGGTTTTAACCCTCAGTTTGGAGTCTTCGATGCTCTTATTGAAGTCTTATTTGTGTGCTTCGTTGAGACTTATTTGTAGATCTTCGATGCTCTTATTGAAGTCTTATTTGTGTGCTTCGTTGAGACTTATTTGTAGATCTTCGATGCTCTTATTGAAGTCTTATTTGTGTGCTTCGTTGAGACTTATTTGTAGATCTTCGATGCTCTTATTGAATTCTTATTTGTGTGCTTCGTTGAGACTTATTTGTAGATTCACCGAGGCAATGTGCCCTCTCCTCGTCGGGGTTTTTAACCATCAGTTTGGAGTCTTCAAGGCAATGTGCCCCCCATTAGCGCCATTAACGCTCGGTAAAATATTTCAATATTTAATAATGATAAAGAGATAGAGTACTTAGCTTTATATTGGTGCAGTGGCGGCAAGAGTAGTTGAAAATCAGACGATGCGCCATTGAAACAAAATGCTCGAATGTAGCCTGCTGATAATGTTGCTTGTCTGGCAGAAGAATTGCGCGGGTTCGAGGATTGGCGTTGACGACTTTTTATTTTATTTTTTTTTTGAAGAGTTCCGTGTCTGTTGAACGCGAGAGGCGAGTTGGACCACCTGCAGTGCGGGCCGCTTGTAATTAAAATTCGGACGCTGCGCCATTGAAACACAAGGCCCGCATGTGGCCTGCTGGTAATGTTGCTTGATTGGTGGAAGAGTGGCGTGGGTTCGAGGATTGGCGGCGACTACATTTTTTTTTTTAAAGAGTCCCGTGTCTGTTGAACGCCGGGCGCGCGAATGGTGGGTCAGGTGCGACGCGGGCCGCGAGTAGAGTCAAGCACGCGTGCAGACTTGGATCCGCTTCTGGCTGGTCATAGTGAATTGGGTCGCGAGTGAGTGAATAGGTAAAGAGCGCCGCGCCTTAGTAGTAATAACCGGCTTTAATCTACAAGTTGACTTGCACGCCTTGTGGATAATTATAAAATGGCGCTGGTTCAAGTGCTGGCGGCGACAACATTTTTTGAGTGTTGCGGGGATTGGCGAAGTGGGCCGCGACAAGGTTGTGGCCTGTGATGCTTGACTCGGGCGCGGGCTTTGGCGAAGTGGGCCGCTAGTGAATGGTCGAGCTGTTCTTGGGCCGCGATTTAGCGTTGGAGCGTGGCTTGTTTCGAGCGTGCTCCGGGAAATGGTGGCCAATGTTGACGCGGCGTAACCGGGACAGTAAGGAGTGAAGCGGGCCGTTGGTTGGAGGGGTCGAGACGCGGCCCAATTTCAAGTACAGTCAGGCCCGCGTGCAGGCTTGGATCCGCTTCTGAATGGTCAGAGTGAATTGGGCCGCGAATGAGTGAATAGGTGAAGAGCGTCGCGCTTTAGTAGTAATAACTTGCTTTAGTCTACTGGTTGACTTGTAGGCCTTGTGGAGAAATGACGCTGGTTCAAGTGCTGGCGGCGCCAACATTTTTTTAGTGCTGCGGGGATTGGCGAAGTGGGCCGCAACAAGGCTGTGGCTTGTGATGCTTAAATCGGGCGCGGGCTTTGGCGAAGTGGGCGGCGAGTGAACGGTCGAGCTGTTCTTGGGCCGCGAGTGGGCCGCGAGCTTAAGTTGGGAGGAATGGCGGGCACATTTGGGGCACGCGCCTTGCTTCGTCGCAAGTGGGCCGCGAGTTGATGGTGCATTGGGCGGATGCGAGTTGGGCCGCCCACAAAGCTGGCTATGACTCCGCGAGTTGAAGACGGCTCTTGTGGAGGAGGTGTGGCGGGCCCGCGCTATGGTGAGAGGATTTGCGCCGGCTTAGCTTGACGGTGGCCTGTTTGTGACTTCACAATGGCCACGCTGGTGGGCTAATATGGAGTAGCAGTGCCAGACCATGGGATAAGTGGAGCGGATGGATGAATGCAGGCTCAGGGTTGCAAAGGGGAATGGTTGAGCGGCTCCTAACGGCGCTTCGACTGGTGGAAAGCTGGAAACCGATAGCTTCCCAAGCTGTATCTCATGGATAGCTCGATATTCGTGCACCTCGTTTTTCGTGTCCGTCTGCCTTTCTTGCAAGGAGCCAGGTGGTGCAGAGGTAACCCGTAACCCACTTTTTTGGGGGAAAAGGAAAACCCACTTTTTGGGGAAAAGTCAGGACGATGTGACAATTCGCGATGGGGACTGTGTGGCTTCTTTTCCTCGTCGGAGCTCCGACGCAAATTTGTCTCCGGCCTACATTTTTTTTTCTTCTTGGTCTTCTGTTGTTGTTGGACTCTCTCTTTGTTTCCTTCAGATAAATATTATGTGATGCGTACTTGCGTACTTGCAGATTCTGATCTCGAAGTGGGGAGGGACTTCTCAGCTACTGTCATCGACAGCCGCTCATTGAGGAAGAGAATGTCTTTTTTTTTATATTCTGAGATCTCAAGCTTTCTGCTTCTTCTCTGATCTTTTGCTTCTCGCATCCTTTAAAGATCAAACGAACAAGATCGATGAATCGACCCACGGTGAGCGCCAATTGTTTGTACCATCTAGCTCGAGGTATGAACAATGATATTTGTTGGTGTGGGGTTGACTCACGATCCGTTCATCTGATCTCGTCGGGAGGGAAGAAACCTGTGAAAGAGCCGGGGTTGCACCCTGAATTAAGCTCCGACGATCAAGTTAGTTTATGTTTCAGGTGAGAGTTGAGAGAATAGATAGATAGATAAAGTGTAGAAAGATAGTAGAAAGTGAGAAGTCAGGAGAGAGAAGAAGTCCATTCCTTTGGAGGGCTTCAAGCCCTTATATACCTGTAGCGGGTATCGAGTATTGCGCATTGTCGATTGTGCGCCCTCCTACTTAGTCTAAGCACGGAGTATTTCAGTAACACCCCAACACTAAGCATCTCTTTAAATAATATTGAGCTAAATAACATAAGTAAAAGAAACAAAAATAGAACTTAGATCCCACGTGCTATAATCAGCATCTGAAGGGAGATGGGAACCGAACAAAAGACAAAACCGAAGCTTAAGAATAAGAGAATTGAAATTTCGTTCCCCTTTCTAACCCAGAGGTTGCTCCATTAATCCATGGGAAATTTTCCAACTATATAAAAAAAATCCAAAAATACTATCCATTTCGACAAAATTTCAAAAATACCATCCTTTCCCAAAAATATCATCCAATTTCCAATTATATCACAAACCTACCTACCTACGACAGTTTGCGGCTTGCATGATCTCGAAAAATTATGTAAAATAAAAATAATTGTTCCAAGAAATGAATTGATCCTATTGTCGGGTTGCCTCACACTAACCTATGTTTTAGTTGAATTATTATGAATAACTTTTGTGAAGGACCTAATCACGGAATCATTGTTGTTGACCAAAAGCAACAAGGGTGAAACTGTCGAATTGTTAGTTTATCAATGGTTACTACTTCAAGTTTTTGTCTTTTCTTCTTCGAGTTAATTCTCTTCCTCTTTTTCAGGTTTTTTTATTTGCCATTGTACTTCATATTTTTTTGAACAATAGTCATAAGTAACCATTTGGGGATTATAGCTAGTATGTCTAATTCAAGCATTTTAATTTGATATTTGGATATCTGAATAATACCATAAGAATTACCTTTTAATTAATTGTGTTACTCCAATCTGAATATCTGATTCACCCAGGTGGAGAGTTTGTCTCTTTGCTCTTTGTTGGGAAAAAAAAAATTATAGTGGAGTGTGATTTTGGATTAGGATCCGTCCTGGAAATTTAGATTCGAGGACAAAGGGTTTAGATTTAGTTTTCCAATTTTTGTAGCCAATGCAAAATTTGTTAGTAGTTTCAGTGATCGAACTTGTAATTTACCAAAAAAAAGTATAATTTATATTACGAAACATCGTACAACACAAAATTAGAAAATGGGAATGGAATCTCTTCCTTCAAAACATGGACCAAACCCCCGGGGAAAACAACACATGTGAAGTGATAATCATAATTAATACTCTGTTCTGTCTTGCCCTCGGAGCAGTATATCATATTTTATTAATGCATCCAATCCAAGAGAAGTGAAGATCCACAGGTGTCACCGCCGTAATGGGCAAATGACGGCTGTTCCTCAAAAGTTTGAAAGAAAAAGTTAATTTAGGAACAAGATAAAGTTTTTTGTTTTTTGTTTTTTGTTTTTGTTTTCTTACAATGGAATAAGATCAAGTTGAGGTCTCAGTAATTCAGCCTTAACTCCTTATTCGATTACTCATTTTTCGATGGAACTCCTTTCATTTCTCACTAAAATAAATCCAGTCAGAATTCAGAAATGTGAAAAAAAAACGATTAATGACTAATGAGTTGTTTATGGTGAAATTAATTATTATTTAAGAGAAAGAAAAAAAAAACAATTCAAATGATATTATTGTTACAATAGACGACTTAAAAGTTTCACAGATAGTGGTGAAGTAAAAAAATCTGGTTAAGCATCTACCGTGAGAGAATTGGAATTAGTGATGATTGATGGGTGAGGGTTAAAGTCTTACAATTACTATATTTGTAAAATTCATTTCCAAAATTTACCTACAATTTTACATGATTTTGAGAATTGAGTGAATTATATTCTCCCATACCATCCACGTGGCACCACTGTTTAAGCAAGAAAACAATCGATGTACTTAATGCAAATAGTTATATAAATTTAAATTAATTAATAATTAGCACCACTTCCACTTGCTGCTTAAATTAATATTGACATCCAACCAACAGAAAAGTTTTTAATTTTCATATTCTAAATAAACCATCTCTTCTTCATAAAGCTTGAGGGAGGAGGTAAGAGAGCATCCAGCGCAGGATTGAAGTTTCCATTTGAGGTTTGGTTTGGCTCATTACAATCCAAGTAAGTAAACCCTCTCCCTCAATCTCCATCCTCTTCTTCTTCTTCTTCTTCTTCCAGTTTCTTTTGCTGGTCGAATAGTCGAAATCTTCACAGACCATATATATAATAGTTACTTTAAGGATCTGTCATGATCTTCCCCCTCTTTGCATTATCCTTCTTATGCTTGTTCTAAGAGTTGGGTTATTTGGCTGAAGAAAACCCTAGCCAGGAGAAGGAGAGATCATGGGGAGAGGGAAGATTGCGATTCGGAGGATCGAGGATTCGACGAGCAGGCAAGTGACTTTCTCCAAGAGAAGGAAGGGTTTGATGAAGAAGGCCAAGGAGCTGGCCATTCTTTGTGATGCTGAGGTCGGGCTCGTCGTCTTCTCCAGCACTGCCAAGCTGTACGACTTCGCCAGCACCAGGTTGGTAATTAATCTTTGCCTTTGCGTTTCACTTGATGTACCATTCAATTTAGTCGCCTACTGTCTCCATTAATTTCTCCAAATCCCTAAAACACACACATATATATAAATTGACCACCCAGCTACTGACTAAGAGTAATTAGGCTGCTATATTGAGGCAACCATTCCGGTTTTTTGCTCAGCAGTGACATATATATGCGTGTCAAAGTTATTAGGCCTTGCCTAATAATTTACTACATTCAACATGCCTGCAAGAGTAAGGATTTGATGTTGTTGACACTGATGTTATTTCTTGTTCCTCGGGTTTTTATTTTTGCTTTATTTGTATATTTTCAAAGATAATTCCGTCCGTGGTGTTGTTCGTAATGAAATCCACTCAATCATAAAAGAAAAAAAAGGAAACATTTGAACATATTCGGAGAGAAATTAGGATTTACCAGGATAATCATTTGGTCATCATGTAGGAGAAGATTTTTTTTTTTACAATTAATCCAACTTTTATTCCACTTCCGAAAAAAACGTAGGCAAATTACTATCTTAAAGAAGATCAGAAATTAGATCAAGAATATTAATCCAGTCCTCAGGCAGATTAGATCTCGCTTTTGATCGTGCCACCCAATCCGCTCTGACATTCAATGCTCGAGGCACCTCTTTGACTTTAATAACAAGATTTGTCCTGAGGATATTGATCATCGAACCAATCCATGCTGCACAGCGCCATGGCCATCCTGATTTTCCTTTACCCAATGCTTTCACCAGCACCTGACAGTCAGATTGGACAATTCATTCTGATCCATATTCTTGTGCTAATTTTAAACCTTCTAAGAGAGCTTTTGCTTCCGGTTCAATCGGGGTGGAACAAAGAAGAGTCTCAGCTCGCCCATCACACACTTGTTTATGGTGGTTAACCGCAACAACACCATAAGCCGCCGGCTGGGAGTCGCTAATAAACGACCCATCACAGTGAATCTCAATAGGATGATTACTTTGCGGGGGATTCGTAGTGGAATGGGTTCCCCTGAGCTGAGTCGAAGAGGCAGGGTTAGGGGGAATAGGCCTCGGGCAAGACATCCATTCAGTAAGTTCTCTGGAAGTTTGCATACTGACGTTAGGGGGTCAGGGAACTCTATTCTTGAAAGTGCATTCATTCCTTGCCTTCCAAATATTCCCGCAAAGGAAAACGATATGGATAAAGGATTATTGAGAAATGACCTCCTTAATAGCACAAATCCACTCAAAGAAAGAAGACTCATGGGGAGGGAGAGGGAGCGAAGGGAAGATATTGCTCCAACCTTCACTGGCATGAGGACAGTAGAAAAGGCAATGTAAGATGGACTCGTTTGAGTTATTGCACACATGACAATTCGGGTTTGGGGCACATTTCCGATGAAAAAGCCTCGCTTTCGTTGCCAACCCATTTCTGGAGCACCTCCAAATGAAGAACTTGAGTTTGGGTGGGAGGTTCAAGCCCCACATCCATTTCCATATGTCCACTGTTCCCATCGATTGAACATTTGTGTTTGCTTTGTGAATAGCGTGGTATGCCGTCTTAACCGAGAACATTATTTGCATTAATATTGGATGATAGATAATATCCAATTTAGTGATGACAATTTCTTACTAGACTTGTGCAACCTGACCTGTCACGATCTGATAGGGGTTGGTACTATCCAACTGTACTAGTGTAGGCCAGGGATTGATATTGTTTCAGATCTGCGTCGTTCCGTCCTGCCTCATTCTCGACCTGTTCTATCATTATTTGCATTAATATTTATCTGTATTTCTTATTTTTTTTATCTAATGAAATTTTATTACTCAATCTTTAAACTATTTAGACTCAATTATTCCATCTACTATACTTGTCATTCATTTATGAAGTATTTTCTTGTTGGCTTCTTGACATTTTTTTCCAAATAATATATAAGAGTGGGTCAAATCTACTTCATACATGTGTGAGTATTACCCGACCTGATCCACAGTTAGTGAGGGACTGATTATCACTAATCCAATTCCTTATGGATTATGCAAATGTTGACTAATGTATTTCTAGTGATCAATGTATGATGGATAAATTCCAGAGCGTAGACTTATTATTTGGCTAATAAAAGTGATGGATTTGGAACTTGACCCTGTCATGAATTTACATATGCATAAACTTAATAGATTTGTAATTCATCATTCTGGATGTACAGACCGATTAGTCGGTATGTTCTTATGTTTTCAGTATAAAAAGTGACGATATTTTTATAGTTCTTTCAGATTTAATTATGAGATTTACACAATTCAGATACCACAATCCATTACAAAACTCTTGGATATAAATAAGATAAAGTTTAACTTTATTGTTTTTCTGAATCCATATATTTCTTTTGCTACTACTAGTGATCATGGTAATATACAAGGTTTAAGGCGCTAGGCAGGGGACAAGTTACGGTGATTACTGGTTACTAAGGGTAAATCGAGTATGGAAAAATAAATTATATTAATTAATCTTTTTAATAAATTACATTTTAGGTAGTTACAAAAATCTATTAATTAAAATTATCTCTTTCTCTCACTTCCATAATCTCCAGCCAGATTTTCTTTCCATATTTTTCTCAATCTTTCTGCAAAAACAAAAAAAACACGAAATCAGTACCAATCCATTAGACAAATACTACCACTTTGAAAAACATCAATTCAATAACATTGCAGATATAAAACTATACCATTACACGAAAACTACCATTGCAGAAATAAATCTATACCATTACACGAAAACTACCAATATAAACAATCTATACCACAAACAATCAATACCATTGTAGAAATAAATCTATACCATTACACGAAAACTACCAATATAAACAATCAATACCATTGCAGAAATAAATCTATACCATTACACAAAAACTACCAATATAAACAATCTATACCATTGTATATAGTAACCAATATCACTGCACATTGACATGATTGCTCCCAGATCGTGAATACATCTAATACGGCAAGAAACCTCAAGACTCATGAGGAGTTCAGTTGTATGAAAAGGTATAAAATTTATATCCAAAGTATTAAACTCGAATTCACCAGAACTCGAACCAATTTCAAATCCCAATAATTCAGGATCGTCCAAATAAAATTGCCTAGCTCAAAAACTTGCAATGCCAGTTGAATCGAGTGGAACCTTGGTCCCGCGCTGGCGGATGATGATAGCTCCGGCCTTGGCGAGCTGGTCTCCGAAGATTTTGACACCGAGGCGCTGGCCGGGAGAGTCACGTCCGTTCTTGGTGCTTCCGGCTCCCTTCTTGTGAGCCATTTCAATAGTCAAGTGGTACGTGAAGGCGGCTGTGACGGGTTTGGCTGGAGGGAGGATAGAACTAGGGTTTAGGTAGATTATATAGAATAATCAGGTGTGGTCACTTTTTAATTTTCAAAATTAACCTAAAAGTATCTTGACCGTAAGATTAAAAAAGAAGGAAAAATAATTAATCAAATGGTATATAAAGAGGTTGCCATCGTGATTACTAAAAAACAAGTAATCACCCTAACCCATTCCCGCTATACAGACATCAAGTATCCAAAGAATTATCAAGGCCATGTTCCTTAGTTGAGATATTACGAGGTTCTGGGTTCAAATCTCTGAAGTACTTAACTAAAATCAAACATATATACTCGACCAAAAAAAAAAAAAAAATCAAACATATATAACCCTCATAAAAATATTTTATCTATTAGCTTTCCAAGTTTGTATTATCCACGAAATCATTTTCAATATTTGCCATATCTAATTCGTGAATACTCTTTTTGTCATTGTTTAACACATATATGGATTTTTGACACACAAGCAGAACTTTAGAAATCATTATACGTGCCTCATGTGTCTATATGCATGAAAATATTGACCCACAAAAACTAATATATATTTATACAATTAAAGTCATCATTAAAATCATAATTAATTAATCATAATCAATTAATTAATTGATCATACACCATAAATAAAATTTATAATATAGGATATAATTTATAAAAAAAAAATATAGTATACGATCGAATAAACTAGCATAGCCGGATAGAGGCCTCCTAGTATTTCGAGGCCGTGTGTTGGAGGACATCCCAACATGCCTCTTAGTCGCCCCTGCCTAGCAATCCTAAGCATTGCCTGGGCGTTTTAAGCAAAAATAGTGATTTTTAGTAGAATTAAAAAATTTACAACACTCTTTTACTTTAGTTCAATTTCAAATGATTAATAACTTAGCTAACCTTCAACAACAAATAAAATATGACACGATTTCTTAAAGTCACAAGTTCGTGGAAGTTGTGGGTTGTGGTTGCTCTGTAGTCGATTATGGTGAAGAACCGTCAAGTTCATAAGGTTGGGTTACCCAAAACTAGAGAAGAACTGTCAAGTTGACAAATTCACAGATCTGGCTGCTCGACAAAGACGAAAAGTAGTGTAGAAAGCTAAAGGGATGGAGTAAAAGGATAAGTCTCATAGACCTAGAATCGCAATCCCAAATTGGGGATGGAAGAGTGAGGACCCGTCGAATATAAGTTTGTTGGCGATGGCGTCATTTTGTGAAAATTAGTTGCAAATTTAGTAATCCTTGGTCTAATAGCGTGCCCTTGTCATATACATGGTGGCTTCTTCGGTGCATTCACATAATACAATGCACCCAACTCTAAAAGTAGTCTTAGATATCGAGTTTTGAATTTTAATTGGTAGCATTACACTAAGCCATAACCTTCAAATTTGAACCCTAACCCTAAATCCCAAATTGTAAATCCTAAACCCTAACCCTAAATTTCCTAAACACTAAACCTTCAAATTAAAGCAAATCTTGAATGATTAATGTGCTATTCATTCACTCTGTTGTCCATCATATCATAAGTGATGATTGACATCATTTTATAATGAATCGCATCTTTAGAGCGACGATATTGAGGCGAGTCCATTGAATGCGAAAGACAAAGCTATATATAAAATAAGAAGCAAAATCAGTCGGAAACACTCTTCTCTTCATGCGAAATCAAAGCACAAATTACTCAAAGAGACCTTGTAGCCTAACAAGTAACAGCTCTCAATCGAGGCATCCTTCCACTACCCTCCAACATGCGTATATGCTTATATTTGGTCCGACTTTTAGAAATGCTTTTCGACATCAAAAGCTGAATCAGGACCAAACACCTTTAAAAACTGAGCTTTTAAAAAGTCAAAAAGTGTTTTTGTATAACATAAAAGCAGAAGCTCAGATCTGGAACTTCTGCAAAAAGCTGTTTTGAAAATACAAGATTATCCTTGATATATTCAAATTTTATTTTCTTTATTTATATCATTTTAAAAAATAAAATTATAAAATCATATTATTTAATATAAAAAATATAACAAGATTCATTTTGACTACTTTTCGTTGTTTAGAATTTTGATTATATTTTATATTATAAATCATTTATAGCCATTCTATATAACCTCCTTTATTTAAAAGCACTTTTAATAATTTTTCAATCAAACATTCAAAAAGTACTTTTCTAAAAAAGTCCCGTTCGTAAAAACCAGGGCCAAACTAGCTCTATATATGTTTGCTTCTTATTGTATTCCAATATATTTATGGTTATTTTCCCATTTCTGACTTGGTCTTGCCTTCTCAATAGATCCCAGTGTGCATTTCTTTACCTGCAGCCTTCTTCTGTATAACTAGCTAGTCTGTGTTTCTGTATTTTTGTGAAAATTAAGTTAATCTGATTCAACATACGCCTTCGCTTGTCGTGGTTGAAATAAATGGATTTTCATTTCTTGTATATATTTGTACCGCTAAACCAAATAATTTCTTATATGGAAATTACTCTACTCAATTAATCACCTGATCTTATAACTCTTCCGTTCCTGAAACTAGAAGAAATGTCATTGCAGGAAGGATAAGTGATAATTGATATTTTGTTTTTCGTATATAACCCTAACTACTAATTAATTAATTAATTACTTGGAAATCTTCCATTGATCTGAAGAGCAAAATAGAGATTCTACGAGTGTCTGGCTTAGTGATAATGCTAATTAGGATCGATCCAAGGCAATGGATTCATAAACTTGCTGCGTAAAACATTTTACCATATACAACAAGAGATTCACCAGACACTCATAAAACATTTCCTCTTTTTCCATTTCATTTGGTCGTGCATTACCACCTTCTGTCTCTTTCTTTTGTTACTATTCTTCACCACCTTTATCATCAACAAAATAAAGAACTAGATAAACTATTTATTAACCAATTGTAATTGACAAGTACTGTGCTTCATTCTGTAAAAATACTTGGTAAAGTTCAGTATGTTATTAGCATCTTCTAATGATTAATTAAACGTCCTAGCTAGGGTGTGGTTGTTGTAAAAAAACTGACCAATCTGCTTGACTACTGTTGCCTATATATACATGCAGCTTAAAATCAGTGATTGAAAGGTACAACAAGGCGAAAGAGGAGCAGCAGCAACAACTATCAAATTTAACTTCAGAAGTCCATGTATGCTCTTCTACTAAATAGTACTAATACATTTCTCGGAACACTGCACAATCCACTTGCTAGTTTGATATAGCCAAAACCCTAATACTTAAGTTGCTAACATGACAACCTATTTAAGTCTTTATGATTATAGCTCATTGGTAAATATATTGATTTACTGGCCAATGGTTCAAATTTCATTATCTTTCTTTGTTAAGAGCACCACTTGCGAAAGATATCAGTCAGGCCATGTATGTTGAATCATCTCCAATCAAATTTGTACTGTGGGAGTGGATACTAATTGGAAGTTGCATTGTTTAGAATACATCTTTTTCTTGTTCATAAAAAAAGTCATGAATTATTTGCAGAATCCGTTTTTATTCACAAAATAAAACCATAATAACATATATCAATACTGTATTTTGCAATACATCAAATTCATTAATATATATAATATTTTATATGTATTTACCGCAATATATCTATTTAACAAACAGAACTTTCAAAACACCTCAACTTCTCAAAACAACTCTCATCATAAAGAAATTTGTCAACCTAACGATATTATGTCTCATATCCGTGGAGTGTAAATTCAACACTATAAAACTGTATTGGTAAATCACTACTTGCATTTTCATCCACAAGTTAGTGCGCGAAATCTTTTGATTTATCATGCATGAACATATACATACTGACCATATTATATTTCGACCCTTATGAATTTTGCCAGTTTTGGCAAAAAGATGTCGCAATTTTGAGACAAAAGCTGCACACCTTACAGGAGAATCATCGGTATGATATTTTGTTTGCCTCAACTACTTTTACGAACGCATGGAGATACAATTTGAAGTTTAAAGTATGGAAAATACACTGTGCCTGTGTAATTAGTGTGTATGATATTGATAGACATATTCTCTATGAATGCATATACATGCATGTTATGTGTATTGGCAGGCAATTGATGGGGGAACAACTCTCTGGATTGGGAATCAAAGACCTACAAAGTTTAGAGAATCAGTTGGAGACAAGCTTGAGGGGGATTCGAATCAAAAAGGTCAGCTAGCAGCCCTAGCTTAATTTCTAGACTCAGTGCTGTTGATGCAGCATGCCAAAACGCGGCCATCATCCTCTGGTTTTAACAGCAGAAAATCCTATATGGCATGCAGGAACAAGTTTTAACAAGAGAAATACAAGAGCTAAGGCGAAAGGTGCTCCAACAATGGCTCAATTTCACACTCTTTTCCCTTTACAAACACGTCGTATATGGTTTAATTAGTCGTGCAAGAGCAACTCTGCAATCTCTTAATTTTGCTACTTGATTGGCAAGAACAGGGAACCCTCATGCATGAAGACAATGTAGAGCTGTACAGGAAGGTCGACCTCATGGGCCAAGAAAACTTGGAATTGTACACGCAGGTAGCGAGCTAGCTAGTCTTCCCACGCCCAATGGGAAAATAAAATGGAGCACCTAACAACGTATTGTTTTCACAGACCAAGAACTATGACATCTCCCTATCTCAAACAAGAGAGAGAAACTTATTTATTGATATTACGGATATGTTCCTCGTGATAACCGGGTTCATGAATTATGGTCAACAAACCATCCGAACTGCAAGCAACTTAACGAATTCATATTTAAACTGATCTAAAGTAATATGATTTTTTTTTTGTTTGTTTGTTATTTCAGGCATATAGCAGAAGGGATCATGGTGCTGAAACAACTCCCAACTCATTCATCTCTTTTAGTTTAACTATGGGAGAAAATTCGCGCATCCCCACTAGTCTGCAATTACGCCAACCGGACCACCAGATTTACAAAGACTAAGGCTTCATTATGAAAACCCTAGGTGATATCATGATGATGATCAGGGTCGATTGTAAGCCACAAACGAGAAGTTGGTCATCTCAACATGTGTATGGTCGAGATATAATCTAGCCAAATGTACATTAATGGTAGCAAACTAAATTGGTGGTTTGTAGAATTGTCTTAGAAACTTTGGTGTTTTATTTGAGCTCAATTTAAGGCATCTTTAATTGGTTTTCTTGGATGATCTAGCTCTATGTAGTATATGTTTACTTGTCTGTTCTTTAACCTTTCTGAAGTCCTATGTGTAGGTTATGGCAAGATTGTAAGACTGAGAACTACTTTGTATTGTTTGTCTTCTATCAATAAAGTGAAACAACTCTTATTGGATGGCCCTGTGTTGTATGCTTCTCCTTTTGATTAAACTTCTGTGTCGTCGTAAGACTAAGAACTACTCTATCTATCACGGAGATAGCACGGTTTGAGTGATAGTGTTTAGTGTATATATGTATAAATAAATTAGAGATTTGAACCAGCATCATGGGGAAGTTTCAAAGATTAGAATTTGAATAATGGTTCTAACAACAATTAGTAAAAGACAGTTATGATATTAATATGTGTAAAATTTATATGTCATTTTAACACATTAGTACGTTTAGAAAGTTTCACATTAGTTATAAAATATTAGAATATAATTTAAAATTGAATATAAATATATGAATTTATCAATCCAATTTTTTAAAATACGTTATTAAATGTGTTATACATGTTTTATACGAATTTAAAATAATAGGGAAATAAAATTTTTAAACACATAGTTAAGTGGATTTTTGCTAACTATGGCACTGAGACTAGAAATTGATATCCACGAAACAAGTTTTGGTGGGTTGATGGTGGAGGTTAATTGTAGATAGCAAATAATTTAAGCTGACATGGTAGATACGTGGTCTAATATGTACGTTCCCTCAAATCGAAACCCTACACTTTCATTTGAGTCGCTCTGGAATGCCCACAAACTCAGTCGCTCAAAGAAACTTCTCCGCTGGCTACTCTCATACCTCCAGGTAGGCCGTCGAACCTCCTATTCAGAATCAGTAGCAACAGCCAAAGCATGTCACGAACCCACCAGTGTTGAACTTCAAAGCAGCATTTGCAAGATCAACTCGAGCAAGTTCATCCAGAACCTCACAATGGACCTTCATTGGCGATCATCAAGATCTATAACCCTCCTCTTTTCGAGAAGAACTAGCCCTGAAAGTCTTAGAAACTCTGAAAGGGCGCCTAATCATAAGACTCCTTGGTAGATCAATCTCATACTCGTATCCTCTCACAATTGTGATGGAAATAGCAGTTGGTGGGCTCTCAAATTACGAACTCTAAGATGAAACTTTCCTTGCCATGTTTGGAGACAAACAAGACTATCTGAGAGCCCTAACCGGAGGTCCATCCTGATTGTGCATCAATGGTTCCCCTTCTTCCGCACCTCCAACAAACTGCATCAATCGGTGGTGGTTTGTTTTTCACTCCCAAAACTCCGAGTACATTCCCACCACAGAGAGATCATCTGCGCTCTTGGAAACTTCTTCGAAAGAACAATAAAACTCAACTATCATACTCAACACCGAGAAAGAGGTAAATTCACTCAAATTGGTGCTGAGATAGACATGACAAAACCTCTGCCTAAGAGAATGTGACTCAACAATTTTTGGCAAGTTGTTCTTTACGAAAACCTACCAACAACATGCTATGAATGTCATAAACCAGTTGCTCCCAATAACTCAAGTTGTTAGGAGAAGGTTATGCTGGATCTTATACTACTCTCTAACACGCCCCCTCAAACGAAAACCAACCCATGGGCTTGAAGTTTGCACAGGCTCACCATACCATGTGCTTGAAAGACAACGGTTAATATTGGGGGTCGTGGAGATTCGAACACATGACCTTTCGGTTCTAAGCTCTGATACCATGTCATAAACCAGGTGCTCCCAATAACTTGAGTTGTTAGGAGAAGGTTATGCTGGATCTTATACCACTCTCTAACAGACATGGGGCACAATTGGCATTTACAGTGTTGTCGGAATCAGATCAAGCAAACTCGCTAGTCACTCAGCTGAAATCCCGAAAACAAGCAAGGAAAGCGTTACACACAAGAAATCAGAGCTTCAGATACCCTAACTAAAATCCAGAAGAATCAGGCAAGGGAAGTGCATCAACAAAAGGAAAGTCGGAAGAATTATCATGAAGCGGAAACAGAGAGAAGAAAGGGAAAGCAGAGCAGATTTCAGACAAAAAAAAAAAAAAAGGAAACCCATCAAACCAGCAAACAACTCTTCAAAAGCAGGGGGGAATCTCAACGGTAAGAAGAAAATCCCCAACCAACACAAGAATCGCGGCCCATTGAGGGAAGAGAACATAGAGAAAATCAGCCCATGCAACAAACTGGGCCTAGCCAAATGGTTCTTATCTCTAACCAATCCACCTCGGCTGCAAGGATCCATCGGCACCAACATCCGAGTTGTGACTATCCCAGACCTGGTTCTTGGACACAAAGAAAATCTCCAAACATTGATAGAGGTTTCGTAAGTCCGCCAACACTACCAGAAAAAGAAAAGTATGCAATCTCCAATGCAAGAGAAGCCCAAAGGAATTAACCACGGGGTGGTCAAAAACCGTTGTAAATCTAGAGCTCCATGCAGTGCGAGACTCCCAAAAAGTCAAAACGCGCAACTGGCCCAATTATGCTAAAGGCAATTGAAGAGTTATGCTCTCAAGCACAAAAAAAGGCGGAAGAATTCATAAGCTAAGCAAGAAAAACTGCAATGGCATCACAATGATGAGGGGCTCTCCATAGTTTTGATAAATACTAGAGCACCATGTTAAATCAAACTCGAACCTTCCTCCTTCTTGACCCTTACTCCTCGTTTTTGGGGTTTGTTTCTTCATTTTACCTTATTTTTTCCATGTCTAGTCTTACTAATTTCAAAATTTTATCCTGGATGGAATGTGAGTAGAGCGGGTAGTAAAAAGTTCGCCCGAGCAATTAGACTACTCGACAACTCTCACAAAACAGACATTATGATCTCACGGGAACCTCAAATCCGTTAATATCCCCTATCTCATGATGGAGATTTTAATGCTTATAGGCTGCATGAAAAAAGCTCGGAACCAGCTCCCCAGCAGCACTTAAGAGATTCCATCAATTTTGTAGCTAGATCAATGAAGTTGAGCTGATGGATTTGGGGTTCAAGGATCCTCGCTTTACATGGTTTAGGAGAGATACTCATAGGAACAAGAAGGCCAACCTGATTGAATGCTTTATGCAATATGATATGGAACCTAACTTTTCCGAACTCAACAATGCAACATCTTCCCAAATTCCCGTAAGATCACCTTCAGTACTAACTTCTACCTACAACCTATTGATTAACAACTTAGCAGAATTGAAAGAACACCAAAGTTTTTTTAACGTGGTTTCGTCAATATGACACTTATCCACGGAGAGGATCTCCCTCTCAGGTTTTTCAGTTTTCTTATTCTTATTACTTTCATCATAGTACACGGCAACATATAAAGGTTTACTCTACAAGCCCTAACTACTCAGAATCGACTATTTCCAAATCAGTACCTAAACATTATTAAACTAACACCCTCCCTAAATTGATGTTGGGTATACAACGTCAATTTGGATGAGAGGTACCGATGTCTGCTTGACCCTACTGCCTTTGTTAATACATCTGCAGTCTGGTCATCTGTCGACAAATAACTCAATTGCACTACACATTTTCCCACAAGCTGTCTAATGTAATGAACATGAACCTCTATGTGCTTGGTTCTGTCATGTAGATCCGGATTAACAGCAATCTGTATAGCACTCGTATTATCGCCATAGATCCGCATAGGAAGTCTGCATTCCACGCCTAACTCCTTAAACAACCGTTGAAGCCAGACCATTTCAGAGCTGACTTCTGACATAGATCTGTACTCTGCTTCAGTAGAAGACTTCGAAACTTTGTCATGTTTTCTACATCTCCATGAGACAAATGACCGTCCAAACTTAACACACCAACCAGACGTTGAACGCCTAGTGTCTAAACACCCTGCGTAGTGAGCATCTGCAAATGCCTCAATCTCAGGTTCGCAATCTGCCGGAAATAAAATGTCGATGTCTCTAGTTTGCCTTAAATACCTCAACAGACGATGCACTGCATCCAAGTGTGGAGTATGCGCCACACCCACGAACTGACTCACCACCTGTACTGCATATGCAATATTAGGTCGTGTATGAGTGAGATAAATCAAGCTTCCCACAATACTCCTATAGAAGGTTTGATCCTCTAGCAAATCTCCAGTGTCTCGACTGAGTTTTAGATTCTGTTCCATTGGAGTTGAACACGGTTGACAATCAGTATATTGTGCTGCATCAAGAAGATCAGTGATATATTTCCGTTGACTAACTAGAAGACCAGACTCATTTCTACTGATTTCTAATCCCAAGAAGTAAGATACTTCACCCAACTCCTTCAGATTAAATGCCTCATGCAGTGACTAAGTTAATTCCTGAATTCCCAGCTTATCACTTCCAGTAACTATCATATCATCTACATATAACAACAATACTATATTACCATAAACTGTCTATCGTGTAAACATCGACGGATCATTCTGACTTTGAACAAAGCCAAACTGCAGAATCGTACTATGAAACTTATCAAACCATGGCCGTGGTGCTTGTTTCAAACCATACATCTACCGCTTCAAACTGCATACCATCCCCGGTGAGACTTTATCATAGCCTTCCGGACACTCCATGTATATCATCTCTTTCAAGTCTCCATGGAGAAAGGCATTTTTAACATCAAACTGAATAATTGGCCACTGTTTCATTGCTGCAACTGCAAGAACACTGCGTACTGTTTGCATCTTTGCTACCGGAGCAAACGCTCATCATAATCTATCCCATATTCCTGTCAAAATCCCTGTGCAACAAGTCTAGCTTTATAACGCTCTAAAGATCCATCTGGTCGCGTCTTGATTGTGTAAACCCATCGACATCCAATTACCAAGCTTCCTGGAACACGTGGAACCAATTCCCATGTATTATTTTCCTCAAGAGCCCGCAACTCTTATTTCATTGCCGATTCCCAGTTAATATGCCCTTTAGCAAATCGATAGTGACTAGGAATAGGAATGGGTTCTGTGGAGAACCCAACATAATCCTCCAATTTCTTTGGCCGCTGACCAATTGTAGCTCTTGTAGATCGGCGGGGCTCAGGCAGAGGAGGTGGAGCCCTAGCACCTCTCCCGAACCATCAGCAAAAGAAAATGATGATGAAGAACCCGTGCTGCCGCGAGACGAGTCAGTAGTCGACCCACTAGATAGGCTGAATCACCACGTGGAGAGTCTTGAGAAGACGAGGTGTTGCTGCTTTGCGAAGGGGAGCTGGCACTGTTGGCTGAAGGAGAGAGTGTGGACCCGCCCAAGCTGCTGCTTCCTTGTGAAGAGGAGCCGCCACTGTTGGCCGAAGGAGAAGACAAGGTGCTGCTAGTGGAAGTGTCTCCATTAGTAGATCCAGGACTAAGGGAAGGCCCGCCCGAGTTTGATAGTGTGAGGCTATGATTTTCATCATCATTCCCTCCCTAAAAATCAGTATCATGAACAGGAGGAACTGCATCGAATAACAACATGGGACGAAGGAAATCCATATCAGCAACATCACGATGATCCGAAGTAGGATAGTACATAACTTGTTCAAGAAAAACAACATGACATGAGATATGCATTCAACGTGTCGTCGGATCATAGCACAAATATCCCTTATGAATGGGACTATAGCCGACAAACACACAGCGAGCCGTCTTAGGAGACAATATATCCCGGACCTTCTTAGGCAAGAGCACAAATCAGAGGCAACCAAAAACTCGGAGATGCGAATAATCAGGTGGACGAGAATATAGCCGTTGAAAAGGCGACTGTCTATCAAGAACCGGAGTAGGCTGACGATTAATCAAATATACTACTGTCGACACAGCCTCAACCCAGAAACCTCGTGGAATACGAGAATGAAAAAGGAGAGCACGTGTCAAGTCTAACACATGACGATGTTTTCGTTCAAGCAACCAATTCTGCTGAGACACCCCTGGACAGGACTGCTGAGGCAAAATACCTCGGGAAGAGTAAAAGCCGAGTACAGGATGGGAAGTAAACTCTCCGCCAGGATCTGATCGAATGACCTTCACCTTTTTACCAAATTGAGTAGAAACCATCTAAACAAAGTGCTGAGCATGAGTAATCAACTCAGATTTCTGACGAAGAAAGTGTATCCAAGTGAACCGAATAGCATGATCGACGAAGAGTGCAAAATAACGGTACCCCATACAAGAAGGAACTAGGGAAGGACCCCACAAATCAGTATGAATAAGCTCAAAAGGTTCCTCATAAACGGTCTCACTAGAAGGGAAGGATGATTGAGATGAAACCAAAGAAGAATCCATCTTGCCAGGAAGCAAATGATGATGAAACATATCTAATAGTCTAGCCGTATGAGGGTGACCAAGACGGCAATGCCACAAATCCCATAAAGTAGTTTGCTTCGAAAAATTCAACAAGCCCTGTGGCTTTACAACAAAAACCAAATCATCAACTGCAGTCTCACAAGAGTCTGCTTTATTGTCTAGACTACTAAAAAAATTACTACTGCCGAGACTATTTGGACCAACACCCATCCTTGATGCCTGCGTCTCCTGTAGCAAAGGCGACTCCAAGTTGCATTCATCCAGAACGAACACCCGACCATCCTTTTTACCCTTCCCGAGCATCCTCCCTGTCATCGGATCCTGCACAACACAACCTGCATTATTAAACTTGACCTCGCAGCCTGCCTCAATCAACTGTCCAACGGAGACCAAACTAGGAACAAGTTAAGGAACAAACAGAGTGTTCCGCAAGGTAACACTACCAGTAGTAGCTGTACCGACCCCCTGGACAAGAATATGTGCCCCATTGGCAACTTGCAAAGACATCCCAGAAGTTGATTGATAGGTAGAATAGCTAGAACGATTATTCGTCATGTGATTAAATGCAGCCGAGTCAATTAGCCAACGAGATTTACATGTAGAACCATCGGTAGCAAAGGCAGAAGTTAATGCAACGGGAAGAGTTTCTTGGAGAGCTTCTGCAAGCAGACGTCACACCATATCGGGAGTGAGAGGAGAGCTAGAAGAACCAGCCGAGGGTGAAGGAGCAACCGCCAGGGCATAGCTGGAGCCGCCAGCCCCACGGTTGTCACCAGAGAATCGAGAACCACCAGCCGAAGAAGAAGAACCAGTCTTGCTCCGACGAGCGAGCGACTTGCATTCTAGAATAATGTGGCCAGACCGCTTACAATAGATGCAGATATTACGACGCTTGCAATGTGGTTGAATGTGTCCACCCTCCTGACAAAAGTGACAAGTTAGAGTACTCGTATCACCCTGCTGAAATTGTGGTTTCTCGGAGCCACCACGGCCAACAGCAAACACAGAATCACCAGGTGCAGAATTATCAAGTAACGACTGACTCCGCAGTCGCGTTTCCTCACGAGTAAGCTCGCCAAGAGCCTCTTCAATCGTGGCCACTTGTCGATGCAGCAAAGAGGCTCGGATAGCCTCAAACTCCGGGCGCAATTTCATGAGAAATTGCATCAGCCTGGCACGAGATCTCTCCTACAGAACCTCAGTTGAAGCTGTAGTAGACAATAACGAAGCAGATAAGAGATCATATTCAATCCATAATGTCGAGATATCTTGGTAATAGGAACGGATATTCCTATCTCCCTGTTTGTACTGAGCAAGCTCAGTCTCTAGCTGAAATTGATGAGCAGCATCGTTCTGAGAATATGTAGAACAAATATGCTTCCACATATCACTCGCTGCGCTGAAACGACGAAGACTCAGAGCAGTAGCTATGTCAATCGACGACAAAAGCCAGGTAATGACTTGAGCATTACCAGAATTCCAATCGGTAATATCCTGAGTAGAAGAACCAGTTGCCGGGCGAGGGCTTGTACCAAGCAAGAATGGAAGAAGCTTCTTCTCTTCCATGAAGTGTCAGAACTGGAACTCCCAAAGTGGGAAGTTTTTACCGTCAAACTTGGCAAAAAAACCCTCCATCTTGCCTAACAAATCAAAGACGACAAGCAGCAGAAAAAGAACAAGCAAGGAGCACACAACCAGATCGAACCAGGAGCTGCCAAACAAAAAAATTCCAACGGAGGCTGAGAACAAACAAACCAGCAAGAAGACCTGATGCAAAGATGATGTCCAGCGAACCCAAATATGACCCCAAATAGAAATAAGAACCCTAGCCAATAAACCCAGCAGTGCCGAATCCACAGAGAAAAAAAGGCCAACGAAATAAAGTACCTAGCAAATAAACCCAGCAACGCCGAATCCACAGAGAACAAGCCAACGAAATACGATTAGAAATCTCAGATCGCAGACTCTGATACCATGTTAAGAACTTAGCATAATCGAAAGAACACCAAAGAAATTTTAACGTGGTTTCGTCAATATGACACCGATCCACGGAGAGGATCTCCCTCTCAGGTTTTTCAGTTTTCTTATTTTTATTACTTTCATCATAGTACACGTCAACATATAAAGGTTTACTCTACAAACCCTAGCTACTCAGAATCGACTATTTCCAAATCGATACCTAAACATTATTAAACTAACACCCTCCCTCAAAATTATGTTGGGTATACAACATCAATTTGGATGAAAGGTACCGATGTCTGCTTGACCCTATTGCCTTTGTCAATACATCTGCAGTCTGGTCATCTGTCGACAAATAACTCAATTGCACTACACATTCTCCCACAAGCAGTCTAATGTAATGAACATGAACCTCTATGTGCTTGGTTCTGTCATGTAGAACCGGATCAACAACAATCTGTATAGCACTCGTATTATCGCCATAGATCCGCATAGGAAGTCTACATTCCACGCCTAACTCCTTAAACAACCGTTGAAGCCAGACCATTTCAGAGCTGACTTCTGACATAGATTTGTACTCTGCTTCAGTAGAAGACTTCGAAACTTTGTCATGTTTTCTACATCTCCATGAGACAAATGACCGTCCAAACTTCACACACCAACGAGACGTTGAACGTCTAGTGTCCAAACACCCTACGTAGTCAGCATCTGCAAATGCCTCAATCTCAGGTTCGCCATCTGTCGGAAATAAAATGCTGATGTCTCTAGTTTGCCTTAAATACCTCAACAGACGATGCACTGCATCCAAGTAGGCTGGGCAACTGGGCCCGAATTCCGGGTACCCGACCGGGCCCGATCCGTTAGCTGGCGGGTTAAATCCGTTTGACCGGTTAGTTGACGGTTTCCGGGGAACCCGATACCCGCTGTAGCCGGTTGACGGGCGGTGATGGATTTCATAAAATCCGCCCCGACAAGCCCCGCTACCCGCGACTACAGAACCCTAGCCCCCCCCCCCCCCCCTTTCCCACTTCATTCGCGAAAACTCCTCTTCCTCTGATAAACCAATCTCCAAGCCCGACCCTTCACCTTCTGCCTTCTCCTCAAATCTCTCAGTTTTCTCTTCGATTGCAGAGAAAAACGGCAATAATCCCTACACTGATTGCTCAAAAGATGAGATACCCAATCAATCTATTGAAACCCCATCGATTTTTTCGAATCGAGTCTTTCCCGATGACGATTACAGCTGCACTTGCCCTTAATCGACTCTTTCTCTTCGTCTTGAGCTTTATCTTCTGCTTCTTCTTCATGCATGCCTTTATAAATAGTCTAATTGATTGTTTTGGCAATTTTCCTCACCTATTGACTAACAACTTAGCAGAATTGAAAGAACACCAAAGTTTTTTTAACGTGGTTTCGTCAATATGACACTTATCCACGGAGAGGATCTCCCTCTCAGGTTTTTCAGTTTTCTTATTCTTATTACTTTCATCATAGTACACGGCAACATATAAAGGTTTACTCTACAAGCCCTAACTACTCAGAATCGACTATTTCCAAATCAGTACCTAAACATTATTAAACTAACACCCTCCCTAAATTGATGTTGGGTATACAACGTCAATTTGGATGAAAGGTACCGATGTTTGCTTGACCCTACTGCCTTTGTCAATACATCTGCAGTCTAGTCATCTGTCGACAAATAACTCAATTGCACTACACATTTTCCCACAAGCTGTCTAATGTAATGAACATGAACCTCTATGTGCTTGGTTCTGTCATGTAGAACCGGATTAACAGCAATCTGTATAGCACTCGTATTATCGCCATAGATCCGCATAGGAAGTCTGCATTCCACGCCTAACTCCTTAAACAACCGTTGAAGCCAGACCATTTCAGAGCTGACTTCTGACATAGATCTGTACTCTGCTTCAGTAGAAGACTTCGAAACTTTGTCATGTTTTCTACATCTCCATGAGACAAATGACCGTCCAAACTTAACACACCAACCAGACGTTGAACGCCTAGTGTCTAAACACCCTGCGTAGTGAGCATCTGCAAATGCCTCAATCTCAGGTTCGCAATCTGCCGGAAATAAAATGTCGATGTCTCTAGTTTGCCTTAAATACCTCAACAGACGATGCACTGCATCCAAGTGTGGAGTATGCGCCACACCCACGAACTGACTCACCACCTGTACTGCATATGCAATATTAGGTCGTGTATGAGTGAGATAAATCAAGCTTCCCACAATACTCCTATAGAAGGTTTGATCCTCTAGCAAATCTCCAGTGTCTCGACTGAGTTTTAGATTCTGTTCCATTGGAGTTGAACACGGTTGACAATCAGTATATTGTGCTGCATCAAGAAGATCAGTGATATATTTCCGTTGACTAACTAGAAGACCAGACTCATTTCTACTGATTTCTAATCCCAAGAAGTAAGATACTTCACCCAACTCCTTCAGATTAAATGCCTCATGCAGTGACTGAGTTAATTCCTGAATTCCCAGCTTATCACTTCCAGTAACTATCATATCATCTGCATATAACAACAATCCTATATTACCATAAACTGTCTGTCGTGTAAACATCGACGGATCATTCTGACTTTGAACAAAGCCAAACTGCAGAATCGTACTATGGAACTTATCAAACCATGGTCGTGGTGCTTGTTTCAAACCATACATCTACCGCTTCAAACTGCATACCATCCCCGGTGAGACTTTATCATGGCCTTCCGGACACTCCATGTATATCATCTCTTTCAAGTCTCCATGGAGAAAGGCATTTTTAACATCAAACTGAATAATTGGACACTGTTTCATTGCTGCAACTGCAAGAACACTGCGTACTGTTTGCATCTTTGCTACCGGAGCAAACGCTCATCATAATCTATCCCATATTCCTGTCGAAATCCCTGTGCAACAAGTCTAGCTTTATAACGCTCTAAAGATCCATCTGGTCGCGTCTTGATTGTGTAAACCCATCGACATCCAATTACCGAGCTTCGTGGAACACGTGGAACCAATTCCCATGTATTATTTTCCTCAAGAGCCCGCAACTCTTATTTCATTGCCGATTCCCAGTTAATATGCCCTTTAGCAAATCGATAGTGACTAGGAATAGGAATGGGTTCTGTGGAGAACCCAACATAATCCTCCAATTTCTTTGGCCGCTGACCAATTGTAGCTCTTGTAGATTGGCGGGGCTCAGGCAGAGGAGGTGGAGCCCTAGCACCTCTCCCGAGCCATCAGCAAAAGAAAATGATGATGAAGAACCCGTGCTGCCGCGAGACGAGTCACTAGTCGACCCACTAGATAGGCTGAATCACCACGTGGAGAGTCTTGAGAAGACGAGGTGTTGCTGCTTTGCGAAGGGGAGCTGGCACTGTTGGCTAAAGGAGAAAGTGTGGACCCGCCCAAGCTGCTGCTTCCTTGTGAAGAGGAGCCGCCACTGTTGGCCGAAGGAGAAGACAAGGTGCTGCTGGTGGAAGTGTCTCCATTAGTAGATCCAGGACTAAGGGAAGGCCCGCCCGAGTTAGATAGTGTGAGGCTATGATTTTCATCATCATTCCCTCCCTAAAAATCAGTATCATGAACAGGAGGAACTGCATCGAATAACAACATGGGACGAAGGAAATCCATATCAGCAACATCACGATGATCCGAAGTAGGATAGTACATAACTTGTTCAAGAAAAACAACATGACATGAGATATGCATTCAACGTGTCGTCGGATCATAGCACAAATATCCCTTGTGAATGGGACTATAGCCGACAAACACACAGCGGGCCGTCTTAGGAGACAATATATCCCGGACCTTCTTAGGCAAGAGCACAAATCAGAGGCAACCAAAAACTCGGAGATGCGAATAATCAGGTGGACGAGAATATAGCCGTTGAAAAGGCGACTGTCTATCAAGAACCGGAGTAGGCTGACGATTAATCAAATATACTACTGTCGACACAGCCTCAACCCAGAAACCTCGTGGAATACGAGAATGAAAAAGGAGAGCACGTGTCAAGTCTAACACATGACGATGTTTTCGGTTAGTGAATACCGAAGAATTAGTTAGTAATTTCAATTTTAAAGTTGGTGAATACTGAACAAATATGTATGTGGTCACAGATTTTCAAGATTGTGCACTCCTGGACTTTGATGCTTGAAGATCAAGCATGTGACTGCTGCTGTTGAGTGCTTGTTGCTGCTGCTGCTGGAGAGACTTGCTGCTGTTGCCTGCTGGAGAGTTGAGACTGGAGAGTTGCTGTTGCTGCCTGCTGGAGAGTTGCTGCTGCCTACTGCTGGGGAGTTGCTGTTGTTTAATTTGAGCTTGATGGCTCATTTTCTTTAAGTTTGCTTTGCTGCACTTTGGTGGATTGAAGTTTTTGAACTTGCTACTCTGTTTTATTGCTTGGATTTAAGTTTATGAACTTCAAACTATAAATTCGATGCCTTGATCCTTTTGGATTTGTTTAGACAGTTCAGATTTTGGAAGATTAGAGTTGGAATGCCATTTGATTTTTCTCTAAGAATTTCCAGGTTGCATCCTTTGAATTTTGTTTGTTTTGATTTTGTTTTTTTTTATTTTTTGTTGTTGTTTTTTCTATGCTGACAATGGTAGCGGGTATACCCGATAAACCCGATTGGAACCCGCTACCCGATGGATTCGGGGTTGGGCCTGAAAATAAGCCCGGGATGGCTAGTGGGGCGGATTCGGGGAAAGCCCGACAGGCTTTCGGGTGGGTGACGGATAGCCCTTCCCCGGCCCCGATCCGACCCGTTGCCAAGCCTACATCCAAGTGTGGAGTACGTGCCGCACCCAAGTGTGCACTACAATCCAATTCTCTGGCTTTATGAGCTCGTGCCACTCCACCATGCAGAGAGAGTTCTGAATGCAATTGAATTCCTGGGCAAAGTGTGGTTCCTTCTTGCGATTACTTACCCTCCTCTTCTAATTGCCCAATTCCATCAGCCACAAAACAGTGCGGCCATATCTCCTTGGTCAGTTTTAGATAGAAAAACAGAGTGACCAAATGCATAATCTTTGATGTTGCTTCCATCTTAATCCTCCTTAGTTTCTACTCGATCTGACCACGGATTGAGAAGGCGAAATTTCAAGAAGAACAACGTCTATCACATGCAAGAGGGGGAACAAATTTGCAAGAAGCAATTGGGAGATTCAAAAGAAGTTCGTGGAAAGGGATTGACAGAAAGTGAATCGCACGACAAGTTTCCTTGAGATCTAGCTTTTCTTCTCCACCGTGAATCCTCAAGTCTATGGCAAGAAGGCCTCCCAATTCACAGCTAATTTATGGATGACACTACCTTTAAGCAATTACCAGTGAGAGACATTGACTTGGATTCAACTATATGCTCTACCTACTCTCATCTCTTGGGTGGGCATAACCTTCATGTCAATGGTAAAAC